CACTTGACTAGAACAGATTGGGTTGGTGCTCCAGTAAGAGCAAATTGATGGCTTCTTTATAATCCCCATGAGAATTGTAAGAGCCCAGAATTTTTTAAGTTCAGCGACATCTGTGGGATGCCAAGCACACTCCTCCCTGACTGCATAGCTATCTGGATTGGTATCAATAAATTGGGTAGCATATAAATTAGTCTGGGGAGCAATCTCCTCCCACATGTTATCCCCTAAAAATAGCTCCATATATTGCATAGAGGAGAAGTCATCCACATTGACATTAATGCCTGTGTTGGCACTAAAAGGGGTGATTTGGGGCTCAGCTAACTGTGGAGAAACCTGTTCCTCCTCCACATTCGGCGTAGCAGAGAAAGCACAGCTTCTTTTGCAGCCAGCTCACACACAGATGACATGTCAGAAAACTGACCTGGGTCAAAATCGGACGCAGTGTCAGTGGCGTCAGAGTCTGGCTAACACAGAGTTACTAACACACACTAAAAACAGACTAAAACTGATAAAAACAGACTAAATGAGACTAAAACTTCTGTTAGCAGCAATCTGTAAACTAACTCCTGCAAAAAGAATCTAACTGGAGATTTGGGGGAAGGATACTGACTAACAGAAATTTGCTGCTTTCAAAATAAACAAAAAAAAAAATCAGGAACAAGTATTATAAAAATGTATTTTCTGTGTGGTAGACCTTAAAACATTCTCCAATACACAGTCCAGGTTTTGTATGGCAATCGGGACAGTGAAAAGGGGTGTCTGTCCTTTTCCCTTTTTTATAACAGACCCGGCAACGTTTCTGGGGGTTTCTTTTTTTTGGTGTTGGCGGTATCTTAAAAATAAAATGTCTAGGCGACTCTTGCACTGTCGTTGGAACTTGACCATCTCCATAAATTATTGTGGAAATCAGCTTGAGCTGAAATTGGAGATAGGTGGTTCTTCCTGGATTAATTTTTTAAAAAAGTAAAAATGAATTATGTGTTGCTACTTGCAACAGGTAGATAGCCACCTTTTTATACCAGGCTTTTGTCTTTCTTAAGATAAGATAAGGCTGCATCAGCTGATCAGCCAAATCAACACCCCCCATGTGCCTGTTATAAGCCCTGATGCACACCGGTTTTGTCTGTACCCTGCCTCGGACAGTGACGTCTGACATGGCCTCGTTATGGATGGTTGTTATCATGTGAACATCCTTCCTGTCCTTAAATTTTAGCGCAAGCAGTTCAGCCTTGCGCAGAGCTTTGCATTCCCCTTTTTTTAATTTGGCCTCTATGAGAGGTCTGGGAAAATCCTTGGCATTTCTTCTTACAGTGCCGCAGGCCAGTGTCTGTAAACTATAAAGAATTTTAAACAAGTGGACACTGCTGTAAAAATTGTCCACATAAAGGTGGTAACCCTTATTGAACAAAGGGTTCAGTAGGTCCCAAACAAGTTTCCCAGTTGTCCCCAGAGAGTCAGGACAGCCAGGAGGGTTCAGTTGAGCATCTTTCCCCTCGTATACACGGAAGGCAAATGTGTAGCCACTTTCGCTCTCGCAAAGTTTGTATACTTTAATGCCATACCTAGACCGCTTTGAGGGGATATATTGTTTGAACCCTAATCTCCCTTTGTATTTCATAAGGGATTCATCGATGGATAAAGTTTGTTGGGGAGTATAAACTTCAGAAAATCTGTTCTGAAGATGGTCTACCAGTGGGCGTATTTTATAAAGCCTATCATATTCGGGGTGATCTCTGGGGTGACAGAGCGTATTGTCGTTAAAATGTAAGTATCTGAGCAGCAGCTCATATCTTGGTCTAGGCATTGTTTGGGAGAATATAGGAGTCGAACAAATTGGGTTGGTGCTCCAGTAAGACCGGATTGATGGCTTTTTTATTATCCCCATGAGCATGGTAAGAGCCCAGAATGTTTTAAGTTCAGGGACATCTGTGGGATGCCAAGCATGCTCCCTGACTGTATAGCTACCTGGATTGGTCTCAATAAATTGGCTAGCGTATAAATTAGTCTGGGAAGCAATCTCCTCCCAGATGGTATCCCCTAAAAATAACTCCATATATTGTATAGGGGAGAAGTCAACCACATTCACATTAATGCCTGCGTTGGCACTAAAAGGGGGGATGTTGGGCTCAGCTAACTGTGGAGGTACCCAGTCCTCCTCCACATTCAGCGTAGCAGGGGAAGCACAGCTTCTTTTAGCAGCTGGCTCACTCACAGATGACATGTCACTAGACGTGCCGCTAAACTGACCTGGGTCAAAATCGGACGCAGTGTCAGTGGCGTCAGAGTCTGACGCCAAGAAGGCATATGCCTCCTCCAAGCTGTACATGCGCTGCATGTTTCACACCAACAGACTAAACTAACAAAATACTAAACACAATATTTTTTTTTTTTTTAAAACACTAAAACAGACTAAAACAGACTAAAACAGTAATCCCTAAACTAACTCCTGTTAGAAGAATCTAATGGAGATTTGGGGGAAGGAAACTGACTGACTACGACAGGCTATGACAGACTATGACAGACTATGACAGACTATGACAGACTAAACAGACTAGACAGACTAAAACAGACTACGACAGACTAAGACAGTCTAAGACAGTCTAAGACAGTCTAAGACAGTCTAAGACAGTCTAAGACAGTCTAAGACACAGATTTTTTAAAATAAAGTTAACCCTTAAGGGCAAAAAAAAAAATACAGACAGTAAAAATGCACTGTCTGTAACAGATCTGGCAGGGAAGGGGTTAAAATAGGATTTTAATTAACTGAAGATACTTTTTATTTTTCACAGGAACAGCTGCTGCAACAAACTATCAGGATCTCTGTCTCTCTCCTCTCACAAAACGCTACAGAGAGGAGAGAGGCAGAGATCAGTGTCAAAGTGAGTGTTTGTAACACCCACTTTGACACCAGCCAATTGTGAGCGATCGCGGATCGCTCACATGCCGCAATTGGCTGTTACTATCTGCCTGGGATGCCGGGCAGATAGTAACAACGGGATTTCAGCGGAAGCGATCTCTGATCGCTCCCGCCGCCCGTTTTCCGTTAGGACGGTTCAGGACCGTCCTCGGTCGGCAACGCAAAAATGCCGAGGACGGTCCTGAACCGTCATGCGTCCTTAAGGGGTTAAAGAAACACACCTAATGGACAAACTCACGGCACAAGTATGAAACACATACACACTCTCCACCAAAACATGATAACCATGAGAAGCATATGCTGACTGCTGAGAGACGGACAGAGACAGAGCTGGATGCTTTCAACATCCTGGCTCGGCATGACCGCCTCTACTTCCCACCTCCTTCCTCTGGACTCCTCTCTCATTCCCCCACCCCACTATTCCTACTATGTTTAAAAAAAGGGGGGGGGATTCATGTTTGTATAAGGTGATAAAAGGAATTCGGCAACACCTCAGAAGTTGTGAGGTCAGCTATGGCATAGCTTTTGGAAATGTCATATAAAAGAGGTTGTATTTCCAGGTGAAGCAATGCACCTACAACTCTCAAGTACACGAAAGGTGCATAAACACTGGACCTGCCCACTCTGATGAAAAATGTTGCAGTTAAAAGTACGACTGCAAGTCCTTCTTTTACACAGAGAAACCAACTGAAACTATGTACCTCTGTCAATTCATTATGCTTTCAATGTATACTATGTTTGCTGAATGCTTGTCTCCCGTTACTGTAACTTGACATACATGACCTGAAAAATAAAGAATAAAAAAAAAAAAAAGAGCTTTAATTGATGCCACCATAACTACAACTGTAGACAGGAAAGAATTATACTATGGGGTAGCTTAAAAGAAACAGGAGAGAGTTGGGAGGGGAGAAAGTTGAGACTTGAGAGAGGAAGAGAAGTGATGTAGATCAATTGAGCTTAGGTTTCTCAAAAGCTCGAGATAAGCATTGATTTTTTTTCCCCCTAAAATTTACTTAATTCCATTAATTAACTTTAATTTATTTATTTATTCACCAAAATTTACAGATTAGTGCCCCGCCTCCCCATTGTGTTCCTTGTTGTATCCTTGTTGTATACATCCTTATAAATGACACATTTTTGCTTATTTAGCCAGTAAATAATTACCAACAGTTAAAAAAATACATAATGAATTTTTGTCTTAAGTACATGCAATAAGGCAATATGACATTTGCGTGTTTCCTATTTAACCCCAACGGATATGTGATAACTTCAAACCATCCATCATCATTTTTTATTTATTTAAGCTATATATGGTAACAGTTCACATTTTGCGTATGAATAATATTACTTAACCCCTTAAGGAGACATGACATGTGTGACATGTCATGATTCCCTTTTATTCCAGAAGTTTGTTCCTTAAGGGGTTAATTCCCCAGGGTTTTGATTCATATCCGTTCAGTTGTAGTAATTAAATTAGGAGAGAAAAAAGCTTTCTTGATATATGAGATGCAATGAAAACCATGTGATATAAAAACCAGAGTTTTACCAACTTCAAAATATATTCATGCAAAGACATTTCTCTTGCATGGTTAACGGCATAAATGGCAAAATTCATCCTTTCGCCTGGCATGGCTAATATACTTTTTTTAAATGCACACATTGCCGAGACTTGTCGTCACTGACATACGCTCATACCGCGTAGATAATATTGTATTTGAGTCTAACTTATTATTCTGATGGGGATAGTTTATTAATTACAGTGTAAATTGTTGGAAATTTAAATGAATATCAAATTTTAGATCACGATAGTCGATTTTGTTTCCACTTTTCTAACATTTGAATTTCACTTTGAATTAATTTTAAATCCACCCTCTTATTACATTACTCTAATCCTGCAAAAGCTTAGAAAATAAATTTGTGTTAAATAATTTTTAATATTTTATTGATGCTAAGATTACACGTTGCAACGATGCTATAGGTTGCAATAATGCACTCATTGGTTAAAGTCTAGTCTGACAAATTGATTTATCTTCCCTTTGAAAAAGGCAAATCATGTGATTCTTGTCTTTTAGCTCCTCAGTCAGATGAACAGTGATTACTAAAGGGCATTAGAAAGTTACTTTCCCAACTGGATAAGTTGCAAACAGTATCTGATCACCTTCACTCATTTTTGTTTATTTATATATTTGTCTTTTTTAAGATCCTGCTTCCTAAATGGAGAATGGCAAAGTTTGCAGTGCTAAGCAGATTACTGGGGTAAGTCCCTTTATGTCTGTGATTACTGGCAGTTATCGCTCTGTGATTGGGGTTCTGGTGTTTTCATTAACTTGTAGTTTTGTGTTCTGTTTATACAATGTGTTTCTGTTGAGTCTTTTAAACAATTTTATGATCTGTTAGTAAAAAAACAAAACAAAAAACAAAACAAAAAACAAAACAAAAAAGAAAAACCTGCAGTGAATTGAAAACTTCATTGCAAAGTGCAGACTATGATAGTCGAGCTGTGACTAGAGCTGACTTGGTGAATTTCTTTTTCTAAATCAACTATGGCTGCCTCATTTCTCCCCCCCTTAGTTATCTACAAATTGCCTAGTGAATCAATCCCTCACAGCTTATGCAATAAAGTGCACATTGTGAGTGATTTGAAATACATTTTAATATTTTATTACAAAATATGCTGCTGAAAACACACAGACACTGAGATTTAGGGTTTTTTTCCCACCTCCATTCGGGTTAGAAACATAGAATGTGACGGCAGATAAGAACCATTCGGCCCATCTAGTCTGCCCAATTTCCTAATACTTTAATTAGTCCCCAGCCTTATCTTATAGTTAGGATAGCCTTATGCCTATCCCACGCATGCTTAAACTCCTTTACTGTGTTAACCTCTACCACTTCAGCTGGAAGGCTATTCCATGCATCCACTACCCTCTCAGTAAAGTAATACTTCCTGATATTTTTTTTTTAAACCTTTGCCTCTCTAATTTAAGACTATGTCCTCTTGTTGTGGTTTTTCTTCTTTTAAATATAGTCTCCTCCTTTACGGTGTTGATTCCCTTTATGTATTTAAAGGTTTCTATTATATGTGAAATTTACTTGGAATTGCTAACAGTTCACACTTTAGTGAATAAACTCCTGTTTGTTGTTAAGTACCCATTGGGAGCAAATGTTCCCAATCACAAGTCATTCTTTCTATGTTTAATTGGATTAGCAGACATGGAACAGAACTTGGCGTTTGGAATGTTGAACAATCACCGTGGAGACGGATAAAATGTCTCTGCCGTTTGCCCTGTAGATGTCATTTTTAGTTAAACTCCACTGATGTCACATGCTCTGCTCTTGCAAATAAAACTCCCAGATTTATTCAATCAGTGATACTTACTAAATCGAGAATTTCAAACTTAAGGTTAAAGTAGTCAAAGTGAATGTGGTTTCGGTTTGGCTACTTTGTTATGAAATGTGGAATTCACTTTGCATTCTTCCTTTTATTGAATAACCCGGTAAGTGTTCTCTATTATGTAACAACTGTAAGGATATTCTGGGGCAAAAATAACTGGAAGATTCCATTGGGTTTTCTGAACATTGACCTTTAAATGTTCCGTAACCACCAATATATATAAAAATTTTTTTTTTTTTTTTACATGAATGACGTTTATCCTGTTTAAGACCGTTATGTAATTATTTATGTTTAGCGTGTTCTCCAAGGATGCATTAAAATTCCAGTCCTGCTTAACCCCTTAAGGACACATGACATGTGTGACATGTCACGATTCCCTTTTATTCCAGAAATTTGGTCCTTAAGGGGTTAAAGGAAACTTGCGCCGCCTGTAATCCACTGTCACATGAGTAGAATCTTGGGTTAATTATAGGGACATGCATCCCTTGGAGACAACTGGCTCATATAAAAGCTCAGGTTTATGAATGAGACGGTTGTATCATTCTACAACCAGGCAACTTGCTGGTGGGTTTTATGTGGCTGGATTCTGTGATATTTGTGACAGTTTACAAAAGTGCTGATTTCAGTAGAGAGCAGAGCTAATGGCAGACATGCTGGGCAAGCACGTAGCTTCCTACCCTCCTGGGATTGGATTATTCTCTGGGATAGACTGAAAGACCTAGGTCAGGGAACTAGGGGAAGGCTTGGAAAAAAAAACCTACAGGTCTGCATTTTTTGCAAGTAGTTTTTAGACGCATGTTTTCTTTGAAAGTTTCCTACGTGTAACACTTTTCATGTCCAGCCCATCAGGATGTGTCCACTGCAAGCTATTGAGGTCTAACTTGCAAGTCCTACATGAAATACATTATCAGGGCATATCTCATAAATTGTAGATTGGCTGAGACTATCAAGACTGATGATCTCCGCCATGTAGGCAGAGATAGCTGCAGTGATGGAGAAATTATACGTTTTTAACACCATTACAAAGGGGATGCGGGGAATCTAAATATTTACTCCAGCTCTATAGTGATAGGAATACAGTTTGACTCTTTGTATAGCGGGTGTTGCTGCAGTTTGGACCATATACAGGATCAGCGTAGAGACTTTAGCGGCATCATGTCAGTTGTCATTTAGAAGATATGCACATCGACATTTCTGTGGGTTTTATTGCCGTGCCACTCTGTGACACTCAGACATGCTGCACATTCATCCATACTTCCCAGGTATCCCTATTTAGGAAGGACAGTCCCTATTCTGGGTCCAAATTCTAATGTCCCTCTTTTTTAAGAGCTCTGTATTGTTGGTGTGTCTGAGTGTATAACAGAGCTCCACAGCAATAATACTCCCAGTAATGTGTCTGAGTGTATAACAGAGCTCCACAGCAATAATAATCCCAGTAATGTGTCTGAGTGTATAACAGAGCTCCACAGCAATAATACTCCCAGTAATGTGTCTGAGTGTATAACAGAGCTCCACAGTGATAATACTCCCAGTAATGTCTTTAACTACAATAAATGTGTTTAGAAATCAGTCTGTGTAAATGAGATACATTGTTCTTCTTATAAATTACATTTTAGTTCTATAAATTATTAGTAAGTCACCTAAAATATCTCACGACAGTCCCGCCCTTGATCACACTCACATTCAGAACAGCCCTGCCCCTAGCCACAACCCCACTTACATCCTAAAATGAATGTGACCGTCGTTGCCCCTTAGAACTTTTGGGGGTGTGAACATTACTGAACGATTTACTGTTGGACTCATTCACGCTCTTAGGAAATGGGTTTGGGTGTTTTTGCAGAATTTGGGTAAACACCCACCCAAGTCACTGATATACTGAGCTGATGATGGGGAACCCTTGTTAATAATTATAAATAAGAGTCCCATCCAATTAAATCTCCCCCCTGAGACAAACTGATATGCTTCCCTGCTTACTAGTGGTTAAATCTAGCTGATAACCAGAAGCCCCTCTTTATGGCCTTCCTTCTTTCATTACCCTTCCCATCGGGCCATAGAATGGGAGGTTAGTAAATATCAGTGAATCAGAGGTCCAAAACTGTCATTTCCATTCTTACTCCTATACACGTGTTTAAGAGCATGAGTCCCAAGTCCTGAAGCCCCCTTTAATCTGCTACCCCCCAGATTTCTGACTAGGAGATGCCTGATCGCTGCTCCAGAGTTAGTTCCTAAATAGATAAACCCTAAGTGTCATAAAGAGAAATCTGGAAGTAAAAACGCTACAAGTGCAGGATAAAAGAACATTTCATTAAACAAGTTACCTCCTGCCAAATATTGTATAATTGTTCTTACTAAACATGACACAGCACTAATATCCCTTTTGAATGTTTTTTAGATTATAGTGGGTCAGAATGAGGGATTCCTATGAAAGCCGGGATCTAGAGACATCCATAAATAAAAATTACTGACATGAACCCCATTGGCCAATAGAATAACTCCTGAAATTGCCTAATAGCCTGGGGATACCATGTCTTAGAATACTTGAAAAGAGAACAAAAGAGCCACTCATAGCATTAAAAAAAAACATTATTTCTGCTTAAAATATTGACTGTGGACATAAACTTAACCACTTGCATATAAATTGTGGCAATTGTCAGGTTGAAATATGTGTTTTGATTGTTTTATTAAAATCTGTTAATCTTTATTTAAATAGTTTTTTTTTAAATAAAAATTAAATGCAATATTTCTAGCTAACCTTTGTTATATTTGAGCACTATGGGCAGATTGTATCCTCCCCAAGTTCAATGGAGAGTGATCTCTTCCCTGCTCAGTGGAATGGATAAAGATCCTTAATAACCACAGATCCCACTGCTTATATCACATTCTCTGCTGCAGGGTTTAGTTTTTTATTTTATCACCAGCTGTTAGCGAGCATTTGGACTTATAGTACAACTCAAAGATGGCGACCTTCACATCAAAGACCTAACTTTTATTGTGGTATTTTATAATATTGTTTACGGAACATCACTGTCACTGAAGATCCACGGGATCTTCTACACACCAAGTCCTGTGATTCATGAAAAGAAGGCTGAATACCATAGTCATCACTAGAGACTTACTGCTATGTCTTATGATATCTTTTGACTGTGTTTGTAATGTCAACGTGCTCTTTGAACCTCTATCTGGTATCTACTGAAAAAGCATTTCTTTTCTAATAATAATAATTTATTGCTATTTTTAACTGTTCTCTGACAAATTTTGTGATGCAGAGATCCCTCATTTTATTATCTATCCAATAACATTTAGAATGTCACTCATGAGAACAGTTATAACTAGTACATTATGTGTTGGTTTATTTGAATGAACTAATCCCATTTTCTTTTATCATCATTGTTTTTAGCATCTTACCTTTCCTCTGGTGGTAGTCTCCATAATTTCATCCTTTGGCTCCTCCATGTTGTATGGTTATAACTTGGCAGTGGTCAACTCCCCGTCTGAGGTAAGGACCAATCTCTGAATTTCTTTAGTTTGGATTTAAATTGGATTCTAAGATGTTTAATGTCCATGCTTGTCTCTTTCCTAACCAATCATTTCTGAGCAATGTTCCAGTGGATTAATTATTCTTCCTATAGAATAAAAACTGCATATTGTATAACCAGAACCATAGAATTGGATACATTGTAAAGTTTCATCCGTTTTGACATGCCTTCATCTTTGAGATTTTAATAGAATAAAACTTCTATGGATTTTAACACAAAATCCGAAAGTCTATAAATTGAATAAATGAGTAAAGTTTTAACTGTGTTTCAATATTCTTCCTCTTCTTCTAAAAATGTTCATCTAGAATAGCTACGATTTATCCATTGTAGGAATTGAAGCTGACTCATTTTATTAATCATTTTTTTTTTTTTTCCCAGCACATCAAAAGATTTTACAATGCCACCTGGCTACAGCGATATGGGCAGCCTCTTGCGCAGAGTCCACTGACCATAATGTATTCTTTGACTGTGTCAGTGTTTGCCTTGGGTGGAATGCTTGGCTCTCTAATGGTGGGAATTCTGGTGTCTAGGTTTGGAAGGTAAGAGCAGCTGTATGACTGGAGAAACCTATAGTATGTTAATCATTAATTTAGAAAAGAACACATCTAATCCATTCTACTAAGTTACCAATATTCGACTTTATAAAAAAAAACAACAAAAAAAAAAAACCACTCTACAGAAACATCTTATAGGTTCTGCATCTCTTTGACAACCACCTGGCTCATCCTTTACATACTGTGTATGGATCAAGAACGGTCTAACCCCTTAAGGTGAGCCAGTGCCAGGGACCTTCTGGCACCATAACAACTTAATTTTGATTAAGTTGTTATGGTGTCCGCAGTCTTCCTTTAATTCCTGGAAATCTAAGGCTTGGCAGTTTAGTTTCAAGAATATTTTATTCACGTCTTCAAACAGAACTTCCAAACTTTAAAATAATCAGCTGAGTTAATTGCCCAGTCACTCACTGATGCCAAACTAGTTGTAATGACTCAATCTCATTATTAGCGTTTGTCTAACTTCATAGATTTCTCTGTAGCAAAAATAATCATTTAACTTTGCCCCTACACCATTTAATATGGCATTGTTTATTGTTCTATGAATGAGAAATTTAAGCAGGGCTCTTCCCCAAATATTCTACCAAAGAACAGTCTTTTCATATTAATTTACTTGATAAAATGTCATATTGAGTGTGTGTGTCGGTGTATGATTGTGTATCAGTGAGGATGTCTGTGTGTCAATGAGTGCATATATGGGTCAGTGAGAGTGTATGTTGCTTAAAAGGATGAAAATTTTTAATTAAAATTAGTTTGCCTCAATTCATATGAGTAGTAGTAATATGCATATATGTGTGTATGTATGTGTATACACAAATCTAATGCCATAGATTGAGTGACAGGTGGTTGTCTTGCTCCCTGTCACTGCTACTCCACCTACAGGCACTTACTGGGGGAATTTAGGATGCACTGACGCCAGTATGCTCGCCGTGAAACCAGCATGTTTGTGTCGGATTGCCATTCTTAGGGCAGTGAACCCAAGCAGACTTAGAGACACACACACACACACACACACACACACACACACACACACACACACACACACACACACACACACACACACACACACACACACAGACTAACACTCTGCCAACTCCACACATACATATCACACTCAGTCTACACCTGTTAATTCACGCTCAGCCAGCCCCACACACATCCCACTCAGGTGTATTGCTTAGAGGGAGCTAGGAGGGCTATACGGAGGCCTTTCTTTGATTCGGGCACTGTTGCCCTGTGATTCCTAGTTACCCCCGATTCCTCCCCTGTTTACGATACCTGCGTGACATCTTTGCCTTGATTTTTTTTTTTTTTTCTCTCTTACTTGTTCTATATGCATTGTTTTATAATTATAGAGTGTGTATGTTTGCAACATATTGTGACTAGCCGAGCAGAATATAGCTTACTTGAAATCTCATCCAAGTCTGTTTGCTATCAGCCATCCCAGATTAACCACTTTCTCACGCTATTAACCCAGGACTCCTCATTTACATAATGTGTTTCTCTTAATGGCAAGAGGTTGCAGTTGTAGATAATAACCGTTTTTTATACAGTTTTATCCCCATAGGCCTTATGTTTAGCTCTGGAGTTTCTGTAAATCTAGCGCAAAGTTTACGCTCTATTCTATATTATTGTGTTCTGTATCCTCATCATGGACTTGTTTATCGTATCATCACATCTGGGATACTTTCTATTCCACACGACTGGAACTCTCCTTATACAGAACACAGTTCTTCTAATACGTACAATACACAGTACGGAAGAGGAAAGACCCCCTTTTTATTACTCCTGTCCCTTTTAGATACTAAAACGAAATAATTACCATTTACTTTTTCTGTTTTGTTTTTGGTAGAAAGATAAGTTTCATCGAGTTCTGATATATTCCATTGTATAATTCAGGAAAGGGTCGTTGATAGCCAGCGCACCTTTGGTCTTCATTGCTGGAGCTTTGATGGGATTCAGTCGCCTCTTCGGGTCCCCAGAAATGGTCATTATTGGAAGGTTTATAACTGGTATACACTCCGGTAAGAGCTCCCGTACATTGTTCATTTTCTGTCTGTAGACGGTGTTGCTTTAAAAACTTGGCTTTTGATGCTTCGCAATAGCCAGGGACCCCCCTCCCAAAAACTAAACAAGAAAGTTCAGTCCCTGAAGATTCTCAATTCTTCTGGCATTAATGTGATAGGACTTGGCACTTAAAACTTAGACCCTCATATTTTATTTCTAGAATTCTGCGAATTTTCCAAATCTGTAGGAAGCCAATATTCATAATGTGATTTTATTTAGTTATCCATGTGCAGTATTTTGTTAAGTTAATTGTGAGAGGTTTAATGTACCAACACATGACACATCATTGCTATTCTGGCAAGTAAAAGTCTTGGGCAGGGAACAAAAACCCTGTTATAAAATAGATACAAACTACTGGGTTATCCGCGGAGTATCGCGAATTAAAATTCAATTCTAAGTGAATTTCAAATTTGGATAAAATGCTTAACATTCTATTAAATAATATACAGTCACACACAGTGCATGGCTTGTAGTATATAGAGTAACCACTATTAGTAGGAATACAAGTAAAACAAATAGTTACTTATCTTTTAAGTCCCATAACGTGCCAGTTTTGCTCTGGCCATGGCTTCTCCCCAGCTAAGATCACCTTTACAGGTGATCTTAGTTTAGCCAAGATTTGAGGGAAGATGGAAAAACCAGTAGCAAGAGAGGTGAGAACGGACAACAGCCTTAATTAGCCTGCCCTTCGGTGGGTCCTCGCTCAGATCTCAAGCTGGTTTTAGCTCATCTTGTGCCATTACAGAGAGAACATATCTGAAGCATATCAGACTGGCCCCACCCATACGGGCAGTCCAGATCCAAAATGCCAGCAAGTTCAATCTGCACAAGAGATCTGGCAACCCCAGACGATCGTTTCAACCTTGTAAGGTATCATCAGTGAGGTATAGCCAATATCCCTCTAGGCACCGTGAGCAAGGGGTCCATGTCTGCATTGCCCTTTAAACTTAAAGAGAGAAAAAATAGATGGCAAGAGAGGTGGGAACAGGCAACAGCAAAATTAGCCTGCCCTTCGGTGAGTCCCTGCTCAGATCTCAAGCTGGTTTTAGCTGATCTTGTGCCATTACAGAGAGAACATATCTGAAGTATATCATATGGGCAGTCCAGATCTGAAATGCCAGCAAGATCCCTCTACACAAGAGATACGGCAGATTTGAGGGAAGCATTGGGGGTTTTTAGTGTGCATATGCAGCAATCTTCATCTTCTCATAGAGATGCATTGAATCGGTGCACCTCTATGGGTTGTGTTTTACGCAGAGAGTGATGACACAAATGACGTTTAGGAAAGTCCTCTAGTGGCTGTCGAAGTAACGGCCCCTAGAGGTGATTATTGCAAGTAAATATTGCAATTTCTCAGAAAGTCATTGTTTGCATTGCTGAGACTACAGAGGCAGTCTCACTGCACCAAAACCACCACAGAAAGAAGCAGAGGTTCTTTTGTTTGAGTGTCCCTTTAAGAAAAAATTGTAGCAAAGCGAAATAAACCTCTTTCATGAATTATGAATGGGGGAGGGGTGGAGATTGCGCTTTACTGCATGTGGGCGGAGTCAAAGATTGGGGGGCTGCAGTTAAGAGAAATAAAAATTGAAGTCCAGAACTGCATCTGAATGTTTTGGTAGCAAATTCTGCAGTTAAAACAATAAAAAAAAAAACTTTATAGTTTGAGGGAAAACAATGATGGCTCTCATTGTTTACTTGTGAACTAATCGAGGAGTCTACTTGGCGTTATGACATCAAATTAATACTTTTTAATTAATATGCCGTTGCTTCATAAGATACTATTTACACAATTCTTGCCAGTGTGAATTAATTCTGCCAGAGTATGTTTGAATCTTGTGATAACCGTGGGTAATTATTTGAATAAGGAGTGCATCAAATCTCTGTAACAGAACAAGCATGGCTATACAGTCCTATTGAAGATATCTGATCCAATTAAAGAGAACAACCACAGGATCATTTAATTGATCTTACCAGTCTGTAAACTCGTTTATTTTTATCTTCGTAGAAATGTGTTTGGGCTGGGAGACCAATTCATTTAAATTAAGCTGAATACGCGTTTCAAATAATTTTTTCAGAATATTAAAAAGTCACAAAATCTTTTTTTCGTGTTAATGTATATAACTAAAAAAATATAAATATATATGTATAAAAAAAAAGGAAAATATTTTTCAGAATAAATAATTTGAAAAGTTTATCCAACAATATGAAATCGAGACCTTAGTACGTTGTAGCACCCTCTAAAACTAGGACAGTTTTGGGTATATTGTTAATATTTATATATACAGACATCCCTATTTAAAGGTGCAGTCCTATCTAGGATTACCGAATGCTATAAGAGTTTCAGCAGATCCGTCATGTAAGCATGGTCCATTAAACATTCTATATGCAGCAAATAAATAAAGATCCGTTGCCGCTATGACAGTAAAATGCTATATACCGTACTCCAACAATAGCTGCTATCTCCATTCTCCATGTATTGTATGCCTGGGTTGAACATATCTTGACAAAATGTAATTGGTTAAACATTTGCACTGATGAAGTAATTTTCTTGCGTGATGTTTACATGTTTACTTATTTTTCATTGTTACAAACCATCTCGTCTTGTTCACAGGAATCACGCTCAGTGTTGTTCCCATGTATTTGGGAGAAATTTCCCCAAAGAATTTACGTGGCTTCTTGGGTCTGTTGCCGAGTATCTTTATTTGCCTTGGGGTGTTTACAGCACAAGTTCTAGGACTTCCTGAATTGCTTGGCCAGGTCAGTATTCACCATTACCAATGTATGTGGGTAGTGTTAATAACTTAGAGATTATTCCCAAAACGGATGCCAGGGGCCTGCTTATCGCAATGATACGTGCTCCACACATGCCCACGTTCTAATCTAACATTTTAGCCACTTGCTTACAGCTGAGTGTAGACACAGTGCCTAAATTCATGCCGCCAGTGGGCATAAGCCTGGGAATGTGAAGCCTACAAGGGGTCGATTCCTCTCTTCTTAACATCCTCAACTGCTGTTCTAAGCCATAGTGACCACATTCTTCAGCATTTCTCTCTATCAGGTTTTAGAAGGACTCATTACACATAAAATAGTCTTGTTAATACAGGGAGTGAGTCTGTTAAACTATATATAATATTCAGTTTATATATTGGTATTACATATACCATACCAGTGTGCTTTGCTTTCTCAAAGAAGAAACCTACACAGTTCACATACAGGTAACCAACTAGGGGAGTCGCAGGAGTTTAATTTCTTACAGTAGTTTTGTCCTTTTCATTCCATTATCTACAACGGCATATCCTCTTTTCTTCTCTTACTGATAATCAGAACAGGATTGTTGGTAATGTCAAAGAAAATCCATTCTGTACCAAGTTCATGTTCTGAATATAGTCTATACCGCTAATGGCTTTTGCATTTCTTAGTGTATACATTGAATTTTAATTAATTTTTTTCCTACCAGGATGCAAACTGGCCCCTGTTTCTTGCCTTGATTGTGTTGCCAACCCTTGTCCAGCTTATAATTCTCCCTTGGTTTCCAGAAAGTCCTCGATATCTCCTCATCGATAAAAACAATGTCCATGCCACCATAGATGGTGAGTAGCCATTTAACATTCACATAAAACTGGGAAGGTTCTGGGCCAGGGATTTAGTAAATAGCAGAATCAAAGTGGAGAAATGTCATAATTAGTATCTTATTCAGTTTTCTTTTGCACTCTGTGACCTTCTGATCCAAAGTCCAGAGGTTATGGTAGATAGTGGTAGATTAATGAGGTGATGTATCGTCCCAACCATAGGGAGGATTTGAATATGGGATTAGATTTCTGGAAGGTTGGACTCCCAAGTTCATCCCTGTAAGAACCAATGAATTCAGATTAGTTTGAACCACTTTCTGGACACAGTGACACCTCTGGTTGGTTTAGTTTGATGGCAAGTCCATTGATTGTAACGGCAAGCGACAGAATTGAAATGTCAATAGGAATTCAATACAAATTAAATCAGATCTGTAAACGGTACAATGAACTTTGAATTTTCTGAGTGGTTTATAACACTGCCAACTACCGCCCTATATCGCTACTGCCGTTTGCCTCCAAGATCCTTGAAATAGTTGTGTATGCGAGATTGACAGGCTCCCTCGAATCCAGCTCTCTGCTTGACCCGCTTCAGTCTGGATTCTGCGCTTGTCACTTTGTTGAAACAGCTGTGACCCATGTATCCAACGATTTAATCGCTGCTGAATCTTGCGCCATTAATCTATCCTAATTCTCCTTGATCATTCTGCTGCCTTTGACACTGTTGATCATCAACAGCTTCTTCTCATTCTCCATAATCTCAGTCTACGAGATACTGCTCTCTCCTGGTGCTCCTCCTACCTCTCCCAGTGCTTTTTTATTGTTTCTTTCTCTGGCTCTGTCTCTTCTTCCCAACTCCTCACTGGTGTCCCCTACTGTCCTCCATCTATACTGCCATACTTGGTAAACTCATCAGCTCCTTTAGCTTCCATTATCATTTATATGCAGATGACACATAAGTCTAGCTGTCCTCTGCTGATCTCTCTCTCCCCCCATCTTGACTTGTCTTTGTTTGCCTCTCCACGATTTCCAATTGGATGGCTGCTCACTTCCATAAACTCAACCTGTCCAAAACAGAACTTCTGGTCTTTCCTCCCTCAAGTGTTACTACTCCCATGTCTGTCTCCCTCCAAGTCAACGGCGCCACCATCACCACTACCTTGCTGCCTAGGTGTTCTCTTTGACTCCGACCTCTCTTTCACCCCTCATGTCCAGTCGATCGCCAAATCCTGCTGCTTCCATCTCAAAAACAAAGTTCGCATCCGCCCCTATTTAACACCAGGCGCGGCTAAGGTGCTGGTCCATGTCGTTGTTTTTTTCTTGTCTTGACTACTGCAATCCCCTTCTCAGTGGTCTTATGGTTTTCCAGATTGCACCGCTGCAATCTATTATGAACGCGGTGGCAAGGCTCATTTTCCTGTTCACCGGCGCCTCCCCCCTCTGTCAGTCCCTGCATTGGCTTCCAGTTAGATATAGGGCTCATTTTAAAATTGGGGTGCTTGCTTACAAGTCCCTACATAATGCTGCACCCACCTACCTATTCTCCCTAATACACAAGTATGTCCCGTCGAGGCTATTGCGCTCTGCCAAAGACCTACGTCTATCCTCTGTCCATACTCCCACATCTGATGCTCGCCTCCAAGACTTCTCCAGGGCTGTACCTTTTCTGTGGAATTCCCTTCCCATCTCAGACTTTCACCCAGTCTCCTTCAAAAAATCTTTGAAAACCCACTTCTTCAGCAAAGCATATCATCCCCCCCAATAACTCCTCTTCTGCAACTGTCAAAAATAATCTACTAAATTCCCAGTGAATACTTTTCTAGAAACCCATTTCATTACCCCTACTTATACCCCACTCCCTCTAGCATGTAAGCTCATTGAGCAGGGCCCCCAGCCCCTCTGTTCCTGTGCGTCCATTTGTCTGGTTACCATTACATGTCTGTTAGTCCACCCATTGTATAGCGCTACGGAATTTGCTGGAGCTATATAAATAATAAATTTCCGCTTGAGTTGCCTCTAGTTTCAGCCAACAAACTAATCCTACACTTCCTTTACTTTGTAAAAGACCCATCATTTGTTTTGAAGAATGGAGCCTTGAGATTTACAGTGCTGTACAAATAAACAATTTGGACTATTTACTAAACTGTGAATTGTGCGTACTGCAAAATGCACTTTTAGACTAAACTTTGACTGTTTTGATTTAAATTTTTCTGTTCCTTTATCAATTGTGCCCAGGTCCCAATTTCATGAATAAACCCAAATGAACCCTGTACTGAAAATTGTTCAAAAAGGAACATTTAGATACTAAGGTTAGGACCGTGAGTATCCCAGCACATGCCTAACACAATTTCTTGAAGAAAGCTATGCAGTTTTTTTTTTGTTGTTTTTTAAAGGTCATCGCTTTTCATTGTTTAAATTTTGCCCACAGTATGTTGTTACTTTAATGCTGCATTGAAATACAAGCCTTTAAATACATCAGAACTGCCAGCAAAAATGAATGTCCCCTTTTGGTCATGTAGGGACATCCTGTACATGTGCTGAGTCTCACAGGTTTATGTACCAAAATTGGAATTCTAAGTGAATTTTAAATTTGAAGTCAAAATAGCCACAAACAAAATTCAGCAACGTCGCCAATGCTTTTATCCGGCTCGGTGTCCTTCACTTTGACTTCTCACTTTCGTCCGATAATCTTTAAATGTTACCAAGTTATGTTTTACAGTATGGATATTTATAAAGCCTAGCATACAGCCTTATAAATACCGTGGTTTGTTTGTTTATTTTTCTCTGACTTCTTGCATTGCAAAATTTTTACTTTACTGTGTCTTAAAACTTTTGGATGACACCCTTTTTTTACAGTCTCAGTCTTTTTCCCCCTGCTACTACGTTTGGTGGAGATTCGTCAATGTTGGCCGTGACAAATTGTCAGGTTGATACTAATTGCACGCTTGCATTACAACCTGAAGTTTAGCTGTCTCGTCCATTTGACAGGACTTCTTTTGATTTTTGCAGTTTTGCTTGGGTGCCCATCGGTAGTCTAGGAGCAGTTTGAAAGATAAATGGGTGGTTTCTCCAGCAATCTTGTCTTTCACTTTGATTGCTTCCCTCGGGGGTGAGAAGATACCTGGCTAGGTTCCTTCTCCTTACTCTTCATCCTGTCTGTTTGTTGGATTGCTAAGCACACAGAAAGCAATGATCATTTGATATTGAGACAACACTGTTGGCCGTTATAATGACTCATAATCAACATGTTGAAAGGAGGATGGAAAGCAGATTGGGCAGGCATATCAGATCTGCGATTATACACTGCTTAGCGGAATCCTCTAAATTCAATTTGTTTTTGTTTTGTGTAAAAGAAAATTTTTTTTTACGAGTTTAATTTTGAAGCAATTTAAGTCGGAAATCTGATCTGTTACTAGATTGCATTCTCTCTAAATTACTCCGTGAGGAAATAATATGCATATTATATAGGATTAGATATGAATATAACAAATAAATAAGAATAAGATTTACCTAATATATATTATTATTATTATTATTTATTTCCCAAAGAGTGAATTACCTATTTTAATGGTGATTTTTAGGGCTGGAATCTTGCTAAGGAGTCGGTATTGCAAGTGCAATGCATTTATCGAGGTGTTATGTACGAAAATAAAGAATTCTTCTCTGTTGCTGCAGCCAATATTCAGCCTGATTTATAGCTTGAAGCAAACCGCACACTCCTTGAATTTTTAAGTTTGTTTTTAAGCACAAACGTGGCACAGATTTTTACATGATATTTATGGTTTATGTTCTCGCACATGGATTTGAGTTGTGACATTTCCATGCCATGATGAAATTTTTTTCATGCCTTTTGCACCAAAAATACTTTAATTTTGCTAATTGCGCTACAGAATCATTGCTGCTCTGCATTGTGAGATGTGGCTGTTATGGCAAAGTGGACTGATGGCACACTTGCTGGCCACAGTGGGTACTATGGCAGTCACAAGCAAGGCTGCATGGTTTAAACCCAGGTTTGAATCCCAATCTGACCTAGTAAGAGTCCTTAGTCGAGTTATCTAATGATCTACTTCCACACCCTTGAATCCTCATAGATTGTAAGCTCTTTTGGTTCTGCATGTATTGTATTTTTTGTAAAATAGAATAAATTACCATCTCCAATACTGTAGAATTTTTGCATGCTTTCTCCTTGGTCCATGGGTTTTGCTGCAGGCTGTAAATTGTGCTCATTGTATGAATTCATAACGTATTGGGGTTATGTGGAACATTGTAACCAATTAATTAAGTTATGTTTGTTAATTTGGGTAACCATTATGGATTTTCTATACATTTTATAAAGCATTGTGTTATCGGTTGCTGCTATACTGCTTCAAACAACAAAGTGGAACTTTGTGTTTAGTTCCGTTAAAATAAATCAAGTTATTAACTAGCTGAATTGGGGAATGTGTCCAATTTGGTCTAAAAAGTGCAATTTTTAGTTTAGTGAATGATTCTAAATGATACATTCTAACTTTAATTAATATATAATCTATCTCTGCAGTGAAATGGTTACCTTACAATTCCCTTTAACCCAGGCAGCCCGGCAGCCAATCCGGCTCTTCAGGGCCATGTGATCACTGCCTGCAGGGGGACTGGCTGGATTGTGAAAGAGTCCCCCAAACCTGGAAATAAAGGCGGATTAAGTAAATAAATATATCTCCTTAGTCCATCTAATTCCAGTTGTGACACTAGCTTCCTCTTTACGCAAATAGCAACCATGTACCACGCAGAGAAAGAAATTCCCATACCCATACCTGCAGAGTATTGCCAGTCGGAATCCCTGCCACAAAATGGCATAACCGATATAAGAAAAATATCCTAGAAAAGCTAGCAGTCTTTGACCAGCTGACAAGACTACCAAAGATCACTGGAAAACTACCACCAGACAGCATGCTAGCTGCAGTTCATGAGTCACTGTCGACAATCCCAACCTGCATCATCTGAGACCAACATGCTCAAACATGCCACATCATTAGTGGTCCTCTAGCTGCTTGATTACAAGATCAGGCTCAAAGATAAACAATGCCCACCATGGAGACCACGACTGGAAGCCAAGATAAAGGCAACACGTATGAAGTTAGTAACCTGCGTCAACTTCATAGAGGTGGAAAGATCAAGGACAGATCCTGGTTACTAAAAAAGTACGAGGATATGCCCATACCAGAGGCTCTGGAAACAACTGAGCAAAGACTGACAGTGTTGGCAACCAGACTAAGCAGAGACAGCAGAAGATCAATGCCCTGTTTACCAAAGAACCATCCAAGTTGTATGTACAGCTGCAGGACAACCTCAACATATATCCATCCGAGGCTCACTCAGACAGACAGAGCGGAGACTGGATAGTACTGGAGGAACGTCTAGGAGAAAGAAGCATCACATAACTCCAAGTCCCAGTGGCTACTAGACCTGAAAGAAGAACAGGAACCAGATCCATCAGGGTCGAAACGTCGATCATTTTGCAGATGTAACTTTTTTTTGTTTCTTTTTTATTAAACCATTAGTGAATTTTGAAATCCTGTGAGTGTACCCTCTATTATTTTTTTTTTTTCTACATAAATGACATGGGTGGCACTCGGGAGGGCAGTATACAGTAATAAGGAGAGTGCCAAGCAGTTAACCCCTTAAGGACACATGACATGTGTGACATGACATGATTCCCTTTTATTCCAGAAGTTTGGTCCTTAGGGGGTTAAAGATTTTTATTATCCCCACCAAGGATATATAGGTCAGGAAGTCAGCAGCAGAGAACCAGGTCCAATAAAAAAGTACTTTTATTAATGGGTAAAAAACAAAACTTAAAATCAAAGATAAATGTAAAATAGATAAATAAAGCAATATTACACTTAGCACATTTAATCATCAGCTGGCTTTATCAAACCTGTCATGAGGTTAAAACATATGTGGGATATCTGGACAATAGGATGTTGCTCGGACACCTCATGTTTAGAACCAGACCTTTAAAAAATAAAAAAAATTAAAAATGAAGCCACGTGATAATAGTAACTGATATGTTTCATTGTTTCTGTTTCAGCTTTGAGGTGTTTTCTCGGGGAGTATGACGTCCAGGATGTCATCGAGGAGATGCAGGAGGAGCAGCAATCCCTTTCATCGGTGGAGACTGTATCAGTCTGCCAGCTGTTGATGGACCGCACTCTGTTCTGGCAAATTTTATCGGTGGTTGTAATCAATATGGGTATGCAGCTCTCTGGAATAGATGCTGTAAGTGCTTTATGAGTGTTCATGGGCAAAACAAGTAAAATAGATGTTCTAGAAATAAGTAGGTTCCAGCCTTGGTCCTTCATCAAAGATAGAGGTACTTGTGACAGGAGGAGATAGGATGGTGACACCTGGTGGAGACCCTTTTTTCAAGTTCCCATATATGCCCATATACAGTGGTGTATCCTGGTTTTCTGCTGCCCTAGGCAGGACAAAACTCAGGCAACCCCCACACCACCCCCCCAACACTCCCCCCGTCCCACCTTCTAAATACACAAACACACAGTCAGACACAAACACACAGTCAGACACAAAAACACAAACACAGTCAGACACAAAAACACAAACACAGTCAGACACAAACACAAACACAGTCAGACACAAACACAAACACAGTCAGACACAAACACAGACACAGACACAAACACAGACACAAACACAAACACACAGTCAGACACAAACACACAGTCAGACACAAACACACAGTCAGACACAAAAACACAAACACAGTCAGACACAAAAACACAAACACAGTCAGACACAAACACAAACACAGTCAGACACAAACACAAACACAGACACAAACACAGACACAAACACAGACACAAACACAGACACAAACACAGACACAAACACAGACACAAACACAGACACAAACATATACAGTGGTGTATCCTGGTTTTCTGCTGCCCTAGGCAGGACAAAACTCAGGCAACCCCCACACCACCCCCCCAACACTCCCCCCGTCCCACCTTCTAAATACACAAACACACAGTCAGACACAAACACACAGTCAGACACAAAAACACAAACACAGTCAGACACAAAAACACAAACACAGTCAGACACAAACACAAACACAGTCAGACACAAACACAAACACAGTCAGACACAAACACAAACACAGACACAAACACAGACACAAACACAGACACAAACACAGACACAAACACAGACACAAACACAGACACAAACACAGACACAAACACAGACACACAGTCAGACACATACACAGACACATACACAGACACACAGTCAGACACATACACAGACACACAGTCAGACACATACACACACACACAATCACTCACATTAACGTTTTTTTTTTTAACCCCCCACCCCCACCTCCTTACCTTTGGGAGTGCTGGGGTGGGGGTCTCTCTCTTCCTGGTGGTCCAGTGGCTGCTGGGCGGCGCTGGCTGGTGGTCTGGTGGGCGGCTGACGAGGTAGCTCTTCCTCTGAGCACTCTGCTCAGCTCCCTCGCGCGCCAGAGTGAGGCTGGGAGCCGGAAGATGACGTCATATTCCGGCTCCCAGCCTCACTCTGCGGCGCGCGAGGGAGCTGAGCAGACCGCTCACAGGAAGAGCTCCCTCGCCAGCAGCCAGCGCCGCCCGCCCGGCATGTCAGTTAGCCGCAAGGCTAACAAGGCATTTGCCCTGGGCATTTGGGGGCAACATTTTTTCCCGCCCCCTGAAAAATGCCGCCCAAGGCAAATGCCTTGTTTGCCTCGCGGCTAATACGCCCCTGCCCATATACCATATTTGTTTGAAATATAGGACACAGTTTATTTACCACAAAATTTGGGGTAAAATACTGCCTGCATCCTGTATCCAGGAGGGAACGAAACGAAGTCACTCCATGCAGTGCCGGTTTCTCTGGGCCGCACTCCATGATCACATCATAGTCATTACTGATCTAGTGGGTGAAAATGAATGGTGTGCTCGGTGGAGATGAGGAATTTCTGTCCCATGCTTGGCACCAGCAAAGGCAGACCATTTTTACCTGGTAGACAGCTGAACTACTGGTAATTACAGGAGCGAGCGTGGAGGCGACATCAGCATCATATTCTGTACCTTTGTCTGTCTGCAGTTACTCCTGCAACCTCAAAGCCTTAGGGCAGCAATAACTGTGTGTTTGGGGGTTATTACAAAAGGGATACATGGGGAAATGGGGAAATATGATAGGAACAAGTGAGGAAGGGGGTATGAGAAGAGAGAAACCAAGGAAGGATGGAGAAGAGATGAACAATCAGAGTAGACCTGGGAAACAAGTGAGAATATTGGGTAGATTACAAGAGTAACGCTGTTTATTTTTTTTACTTTAAAGTTCTAATTAAAAAAAATATGGGTGTGTCGTATATTCCAAAACATACGTTATATAATAATCCACTAAGGTTTTGGAAAGTCTTTGCTTTGGAGAAGGGGTGAGCCTGAAAAGAACATTCTTTCAAGAGATTTTTTTAGAGAAATAGAATGGTTGAAATAAGAGGCTGTACAATGAAATGTATTTGACAATTTTAGATCATGAACAGGGAGCTCTGCTACGCTGAAAAGGTGGGTGCATGGAACAGCTTCCAACCGAAGTGGCAATGTTGAAAGTTTGCTATGCGTGTTTTTTATGTGTAAAGAATGGCATTGTTTTAAAATGTGTCTAAGCACGACTCTTGTTTCTGTTTTCTTTGCAGATCTGGTTTTACACCAATTCTATATTTGAAAACGCTGGGGTACCTCTGGCTGAAATTCCGTACACAACTGTGGGAACCGGAGCAATTGAGATAATTGCAGGTTTAATTGGGGTACGCTTTCACGTTATGTCCTCCCCCCACTGCCTCACCCCTGTACATACTGTGTAAAAGCTATAAACCATTTGTTTTGGTATACCTGCTCAACTATTGCACAGCGGATTCATTCAGTTCAGGCAAGCCATTTTTTTTTTCAGCCATGACAAGTGTTTGGGAAACAATTCGGACGAACCAAAAACGGTGTGAAAATGGGCCAGATATATAAATATAATTAAATATTCTATATATAGTTTCAGAAAACTGAGAGGTGCATTTTCCCACTATTCTGTAGATCCAGTATGAAAAACTAATCAAATATAGGGATATATAAATATATAAATTAGTATTTTTTGCATTATTTAAGTACAGTTCACCCTCCTGTTTAGTACAATCCTTTTAACATTATATACAGAAAAGAGTCACTATATAACACACGTGTGATGAATAAAACCATTCTAAAAAAAAAGTGAACCTCACGGACACCTCATATGCTAAACAAACACACAGATATACTTCCTTTTGAGTGTTTGTTTAGCCTTTTAACATTCTCTCTGTGGACAATACCAAAACTGAGAGGTCGCAGAGAGATTTCTAAATCGAACAAACTTCTTCTTTTAAATTATAAGACACTTATCATCTCTTTAAACGGTGCATGGTTCGCATGGCAGATACTCAATCATTTGTGATTTTTTGTTTTTTTTCTAATTTCTTTTTTATAAATGTAAATAAAATTGAAACATTATCTGCAGAGCTCGACAACGGTACTAAGTTTTATTTTGTAACTGCAAATATTTCCCAATACTCCCTATATAATATCGTCCTTAACAGGGGGTTTATTCATTAAGAGTAGATGTTTTTTCTTACTTGGTTATTTTTGCCAAACTGTGCAGCTAAATCACAATGCAATGTGTCAAGCAAAGATGTCTTTAAGTGACTTTCCTTTCTGTTCTCTGTGTTTTGCCTTGGTTGGTGTATTGCAGGACTATCCTACTTTCTACTCTCTGATATTAAATCTTAATCTAGGAGCAGCAGTTTATATTACCCCCACCCCCTTTTCAGGCCACCCTACCCAACTCTTGGTCCAGAATTTTATCTTGCATCCTACTTTGTGACGGTCTCGAAGCAAATTAGTCTGAAAACAACCGTAGATATCAAATGCAGGGGTGGTGCATGTATTATAACGCGCAACCCAACCCAACATTGGGAGAGTATGATTATGGGGTGGGGATGCCGTCATGCCTTGGTCTTTTTGATTAAAAAAATGTTACATTTCGGCCTGGCATGCATGCGCGCTCCGTTTATGCAGTGTCTCTGTAAAGTTACTCTCTCACTGTGTTTTATTGGGGACTTGTCACTGGAATCCTTAAAAGCAGGACCCCAAACTTCGGATTGGGGTACAGGAGTCCCAAGGCGGAGCTGTCCCACTGTAGTGTTTATTAACTGAACAAAATTGTACTAAACTAAAATCTATGAATTGTAAAAGTAAGTCCACTTTGATTAAAGCGGAGTTTAAGTTTTTTTTTTTTTAATAGGCACATTTGTGTAAAGTTTTTAGCAAATCAATGTTTAGTGAATGAATCCCTGTATGCTAAAAATCTCTCCCACCTTTTCTTCCAATGGTCAAGCGATTCCAGAGCATTGAATTGTACTCTGAGAGAGAAAAGAAATAACCACAACAGACATTCAGGACGCCCACGAGGCCCAAACTTGTTCAGATTTATTTTATTATATTGTGTGCAGTAATTGCAAAAGTCACCAAAGGCTTACATTTCAGATCACTTTCACAGTGTAACAATTTTCACACAACACTCCCAGTCCCACCAGGTTTGTAGACCATCTCCCGGTCCCATTCGTAGTTTCGGTAATTTGTTAAAATAAGGTGTTTTGAGACGTTATAGACCTAACAAATATTGGATATTCCACTTAAATAAATGGTTAGTTGTTATTTTGCTACAACAAAGGGTTATTTAAGTGAGAATTGTCAGGATTGCAAAGTAAATTGAAAGTGAATTTCAAATTTAAGACAAACGTTCTTCATCTTAAAAAATTATCCATTTCAGGTCATCTTACAGTTTGGCTATTTTGACCTCAAAGGGATTGTCAGAGCACCATAACAACTTAATAAAAATAAAGTTGCTATGGTGCCATGACTTTTTACTGGTTAAAAAAACTAAATATAAATGTTTTGTCTTGTATTGCTGCTTATTATGATGCTGTAGACTTTCTTCAAAAGCCACCACCAGCTCAAAATGTTACCCTATCCTTTTCTTGGTTTGGGTACCGCATCTCCTGCGCCCATTGGGGTGTCTCCAAATCCTGCCATATCTGTGCGTCTTGAGCTGAATTGATGAGGAACATACTTTTGATTTCTTCAGAACCACAACATTGCTCTAACCCTTTGTGCATGTAAAAAATGCTACTCCAATAATTCTATATTTATTTTTGTGCTATTTTTTTTTCTCTCTCTAAATTCAACTTTGATAGTATTTGTTCTTGGTTTTGCTAAATGGTTTATTTTTTTCATATTTATTAATGAATATATATATTATATACATTTATTTTTACTGCATAACCTTCTCTAGTACTTGTTTTGTTATTGATAACATTTGCAACCTATTACAAAGAGGTGTAAATCACTGAGAAGGTTATTGGCTTTCCTTATGAACCCTAAGACAAATAGCTGTCTACCAACCTGTAACATTTCTTGCTTCTATCTTGTCCCTTTTTGCTCTTCCCCTGTGCCCCCCCCCTCACCCCCAAACCACCCGCGCCTCTGCTATCTCTTACTCCTAACACCATTTATACTCTGCTTAGCTGAGAGTTACCTCAGTGGAGTACAGATTTATAACAAAGCGTGCATTCCATATTTTTAACCCAGGGCTGGCCTGAGCTACATAACACTAAATTAGATTTTTGACAATTAGAGAGACTAATGTGAGCCATCGGATCCCAGGAGCTAAATTTCACAGCACGTACTTCCTTTAATAAACATAACGCACTGCAGAAGTGAATTTCAAAGCTCCCTCCCGTTAACACTTATTTACCCCTTTCTATCTTTCTCAATTTCCCCTCTTTATTTAGCCGTATTCGGACCCACTAAACGGTCGTCTGCTCTTGCCATCTCCTGTTGAGCACTAATAAAATAGCTTGAAGAGGTGGGAAAGGGATGTTTTTTGCAGTGAGAGCCTCATATTCACTCAGGCAGACTCATAGCTCTGTAAGTCTGATTGGTCCTGAGTGGAGACTGAAATGGCACCCGATGGACACCATGAAATTGGATATAAAATTACAAGCATTTGTTCTGCTGTCAATATTTTCTGCTGGATTTGCTCAAAGCTTTTTATTTATTTATTTATTTATTTATTTTTCCTCCTTCTTTCGACTCACTCTAATATTCCAGAGGGGAGTTTTCTTTCTTTTTATTGAGTTTTGCAATGAGAAAATGGACATGTTATCCGAGTTTCATACATCCTCTTAGCCACTGATTTTCATTTTAAAAATGGCAGGTTTTATTTTTGTAGTAGCAGATCATTTTTCCATGGTTATTTGAAGTAATGACATCACCACGTTATGTTTAACATATTCTTTGCAAATGTGTTTTATATCAAGGTAGGACTATTCTAAGAATTCACATTGGAGAACACTAGAATTTTATGTGAATTAACCCCAGCAAGAAGCAAAGATACCCCTGTTCTTGCTAAGATGTGCTAATTAGAGACTCCTTAATTTTCGTGGGGAGATCTGTGTACAGATCTGCTTGTCTGGCCCAAGAATGGGTTTGAAGAACCGTGTGTTATTGAGGCATTGCATGCCAGTAGTATACCAACTAAAAGTCAAGTTAGCACATCATTCCTAGCTGTAACATAAGGAATGAATGATGTGGGGTTTCTACTAAGAAGAAGATATCTCATGCAGAGACTTGATGGAAGGTGATTTTATCTACAGCACGGGAAAAGCTTCTTTACATAAGGAATTATAAAGATATGGAATTATCTGCCATGAAAGGTTGTTGTTTTTGATAAATTTGGTAGAACTCTGAAAAAAGACCTTCAACGTGGTCTATCTGGTTTAATATTGTGAAAATAATTATTCTGAAAATGACTTGCTAGTTTGGTACACTCAAGTATTGATCAATTGTACAGCAACTGGTGAGGCCTTCACTTACCTGAAAATGAAAGAGAAGTACTTTAAAATTCCACGGTGAAAGATGTAGGGCTGGAGACTGCTCCACAAACACTAGGCCTCATGGAGTCATTAGTCCAAACTCCAATGGGATTAATTAACTCATCTGACTGCTTGGGCAACAGGGGTACCTGGTCACATTTCTGACACACTGTGTGGCCAGGACCACATTAAAGTGAAAGAGCTGACTGCAATCAGCGTAGTTCTTCTTCGTAAGCCCTATTGTCATCTTTCATGGTCAGGATATATTCCCGACACTCATAGTAACCACCAGTGGAAGGCCTGTACATAAACAATAACTTTGGTGTCATTTATAATTACTGCTCCCAGGAGGCTGAAATGATTTTATCTACAGTCACTTATTCTTAGTAAATCTGGAGTTTCCCTAAACTGTGATCGGTATAATGGAAAACCCATATAAAGGTTTAATAGCAATCACATGGGCTCTGTAGGGGTCACTTAGATGGGGTCAATGCGAATACTGCAAACCTCCATCCACCTGGTGGTGAAAGTTTATGTCTGAACATGATCGTTTAAGCCAACCAACTTCCATGGTTAAATTCAGGAAAATGTGGATAAACCCAGAGCTTTACTTTGTGCAGCTCCCTCAAACAAAGTGTGAAAAACTGATGGTCATACACTAGACTAGGGGTGGACAACCCCTGATGAATATCTTCTCTGTAGTGGACATGTAAGAGCATTATGTAGTCCAGAACATCTGGAGTGCCGAAGGTTGCCTACCCCTCTAATAGCCAATAGTAAGTCCCAAATTTCCACCTCTTATATATCCACTACAGAGTAAGATATTTTTAAATTAATTTTTTTAATTTCCAGAGGTTTATATTTTTTTCCTACCAGTGCGTATTTTTTTTATTACTATTTTAATTTTCCTTTACTAGACGCCAATACTGCGGCTATATTTATTATAATATGAATAATTCTTAGAAATAAGTCAAATTTTTTTTTATTTTTAATTTTTATTAATTTTAAAGCATTGTATCCTGAGTAAATTGATGCATTTGACCAATAGGAGCTCTATACTATCTACGAATATTACCACATTCTTATTGTTTGCACTCTCTCTCGCTCGCTCTCACTCATGTTTTCTGTCTATTAATCTGGTTTAATCTGATTGAAATAATTATTACTAAATTCACTATGTTTTATTGGGATCTTTGGGGTCTTCATATTCTGTATAAGTGTATGATCTATAGTTTTGTGTTCTTCTCTTTGCAGTGTTTTACAGTTGAGAAGCTGGGCAGACGGCCTCTTGTAATTGGTGGATTTAGTTTTATGGGTTTCTGCTGCGCTGGGATAACGTTGGCGCTGGTGTTTCAGGTATGATGAGTTTCCCCATCAGTTTTATGCTCTTTTACCCAGAATTCTATAATATCCTAATCCTCCTCCGGCTAGTGGATGGATTCTATAATATCCTAATCCTCCTCCGGCTAGTGGATGGATTCTATAATATTCCAATCCTCCTCGGGCTAGTGGATGGATTCTATAATATCCTAATCCTCCTCCGGCTAGTGGATGGATTCTATAATATCCTAATCCTCCTCCGGCTAGTGGATGGATTCTATAATATTCCAATCCCCCTCGGGCTAGTGGATGGATTCTATAATATCCTAATCCTCCTCCGGCTAGTGCATGGATTCTATAATATCCTCATCCTCCTCCGGCTAGTGGATGGATTCTATAATATCCTAATCCTCCTCCGGCTAGTGGATGGATTCTATAATATCCTAATCCTCCTCGGGCTAGTGGATGGATTCTATAATATCCTCATCCTCCTCCGGCTAGTGGATGGATTCTATAATATTCCAATCCTCCTCCGGCCAGTGGATGGATTCTATAATATCCTAATCCTCCTCCGGCTAGTGGATGGATTCTATAATATTCCAATCCTCCTCCGGCTAGTGGATGGATTCTATAATATTCCAATCCTCCTCCGGCTAGTGGATGGATTCTATAATATCCTCATCCTCCTCGGCTAGTGGATGGATTCTATAATATTCCAATCCTCCTCCGGCTAGTGCATGGATTCTATAATATTCCAATCCTCCTCCGGCTAGTGGATGGATTCTATAATATTCTAATCCTCCTCCGGCTAGTGGATGGATTCTATAATATTCCAATCCTCCTCCGGCTAGTGGATGGATTCTATAATATCCTAATCCTCCTCCGGCTAGTGGATGGATTCTATAATATCCTCCTCCGGCTAGTGGATGGATTCTATAATATTCCAATCCTCCTCCGGCTAGTGGATGGATTCTATAATATCCTAATCCTCCTCCGGCTAGTGGATGGATTCTATAATATCCTCATCCTCCTCCGGCTAGTGGATGGATTCTATAATATCCTAATCCTCCTCGGGCTAGTGGATGGATTCTATAATATCCTAATCCTCCTCGGGCTAGTGGATGGATTCTATAATATCCTAATCCTCCTCCGGCTAGTGGATGGATTCTATAATATCCTAATTCTTCTTGGGCTTGTGCAATGTTCCAAAACCTGCATCAACATGGGGGTCTGTAGGGGGCAAATACCTCCACTCTGAGTGGTTTAATATAATAAGAATATTTGTTACGGGTTTCTTATGACATTTTTTTTTTTTTAATTCTGTATCACTTATAGCCTCTGCGATGTAATGTACAAATTGCTGGATTCTTTATAGGGGTGTTTTGAGATTTCTGCATTCCTTATGCTGTATGTTCATTTTAATATTTATTAAACCAGGGAGAGTATATTGCAATGATGACCATATTTCACAAGAACTGCTATGCGGTGGCTGATTACTCTGCCTTGTTACGGCACCTATACTCATAGATCATTTGTATGCAAAAAAACAAAAACTTTTGTCTGCAAGTAAAATATTGTTCTGAATATCTTTCTGGAACACAAGAAACCGATGCCTAATTAGATTCCTTTGTAGCCATTGTCAGTCACCTGTTCAGAAAAGGTTATTTGAATACTCCATTATTGGTAAAAAACTAAAGAAAACGTAACATAGCTAATACTTGATATCTGGCTGTGATAGGACTCTAATTCCTACAATCCCTTGGCAGACTAACACTACTGTAATAAAACTCCCATGATCCTTTGCTAAAGGACACTAAAGGTCCAGTATTTAAATACCTCAGCGCTACTGATTTCACTTAGAAATATATCAGGGTTTTTCACTAAAGTGTTAATTGTTAGGAATTTAAAGTTAATTTAAAATTTTAAGTCAAATAAAAAGCTCCACTATCTTCACAAAGGAAGCAGAGCTTGCCTTATGCCTTAAAGGGATTCTCCAGTACCAGGAGAACAATCCCTGGCACTTTTCCTGGCACTATAGGCTCCTGTAGTGCCCCCTCCCTGCCCCCATCCCATGTTGCTGAAGGGGTTAAACCCCCTTCAGATACTTACATGAATCCAGAACCGATGTCCCTCTGCGTTTGATCAGTCTCCGCCCACGCTCCTCCCCCGCCGATGTCAGCTGGTGGGGGAGACCTAATGCGCATGCACGGAAATGACTGCGTGCACATTAGACATCCCCATAGAAAAGCATTATTCAATGCTTTCCTATGGGGAAAATCTGACGCTGGAGGTCTGTGAGCACGTCCGGCATCAGATAACCGATAAAAGGTCAGTTAGGATTCCGGAAGCCCTCCAGTGGCTGTCTGTTAGACCTTATGGTAGACCGCCACAGAGGGCAGACTTAGAGCTGCAATGTAAACATTGCAGCACTAAGTGCAAAAGGGTCACAGCACCCAGACCACTTCAATTAGCGGAAATGTTCTGGGTGCCTACCGTGTCCCTTTTAAGCTGCACCTTTGTGAAGATTTATCAAGCGCATGAAAAATACACAAGACAAAATAGTCATTACTTTGTCTTTTTGTTTTAAAATTAATAAAATTAGAACCGATTTTTCTGGAAGAGAAGGGGAAACGGGTAGGAAGGTATGTTTGAGGTGACAGACGCTTTAAATCATATCTGACTTGGACAATTTTTACATTTGGATTATTTTGGCCTAAATTCACTTTAAAATTACAACAATTCCCACTTTTAGAATCCCCCTGTGTGTGTTTGTTATTATTATGTGCATGCTGGTGATCAGCGCTAACTGGATTTAAAGTAATGCCTTTCTGCCAATCTCTTGGATCACTGAGTGTTTGAAGATGATTTGTGTCTTTTTATTGCATTTATTGTAATTTTCATTTTCTGTTCTGTGTGTTGTGCTCTGTATGTTTTTAGCACTAAGTGATATTATTTCATAATACAGATTCTGTTTACTCTTTTTTTTTTTTTTTTTTAATGTTATTTCAATACTGTGCAGGCGCGGATTGCCTGGATGCGCTATGTTAGTGTGGCATGCGTCATTGGAATAATTGCAGGCTTCTGCATTGGACCAGGTGAGCCCTCATATCTAACCTTTTAATTCCAGGATCTATGTGTGTGTACTCCCAAGTTTTGGGTTCAAGTCTTGATTGTTTTTACACTAAACTCAGGATAATCTGAAGTGGAATATTTTGTATTGTGCTCTGATTGGATGAAGTGCTATCTGTTTGTGATGGATTCAGACCTATATCCCATACCCAACTATCGTTCTTGCCGTATCTACACTCTTCTTGCATATAGCAAACATTTGAAGAAGACTGTGTTCAAGAATGTCCAGGTTCTAGAATGTCCGGGTTCTAGATGACAGCCAATCAGGAAGAAGAATTTTACTGAGAAGGTTCCTGCCATCCTCACTAATGCTCTTTATGACAAACCCCATTAGTTTTAGAGACTCTACCATAGGTCTAATAGACTTTAGTTAACATGTCGTTCTGTGTATTTTCACCTGAAATACATAAAGTGTTCTCTTCCACTGCTAATGAAAGAGTTAAAGCGAGGGCAGAAGCTTTGCCGAGTCTATCTTAAAATGATGGATGGAGACTGGGGTGGTTTATCCCATTGATATATTAGCAGTGCCTCTAACAAATCTATAATTCATTTTCAGCTGAGAATTTATTCAGTGTAATTACATCTTTAATTAGGATTTTTATGGCTCATTGTTCATAAACAATGATGAATATGACTTTTAAAGCAACAAGGATTAAGATAAAAAAAAATTCTGCGTGAGCTGTGAGTACAATTCCGTATATATATCCTTTTTCTTTTTTTGTTCTGCATGAATTTTTCTATATTAAGAGTCCCTTGTATGGCGTGATGTGGAAATAATGAACTACAGTCAAAAACGTCTACTGAAAACCATTAAATTCATTTTATCAACAATAGACTGAGAATGAAAAATGTTCTCTTAACCCATTTACTATCATTGGGATCTACAAATGGATCGCTGACTAGCAGCGGATGAATGTATTAAAATAAGACACTTAGTACTGAAATTGAATCCCTTTCCTAACCCCAGGCTGCTGGGCCTTTAAGTGAGGAGGTGATTAAAATGTGTGGTGTTAAATTAAGAGTGAAAATGCAAGTTGTTGTTTTTTTGTTTGTTTTTTAACTTGGGTGGAAAATTCTGCTTCAATTGCGTTAAATTCCATTGCTCGACAATCTAGTGTATTTATGTTTTTTTTTATATAATTGCAAATATAGACTTTTGTTTCACATACACGTTTTCTGTCTCTACTTTGGGTAAATAATGATAACACTTCACCAGGTTTGCATCATTCAATCTTTGTAGGTAAAGTTTTACACTAAAAATATAAATTTTTTTCAAGTTGCCAGATTGGGTAGATTTTGAAATGGAAGAGGTGGCTGACTACCTTCTCTGCAAAGTACATTTGATCTTTTTCGCAGGGTGGTGGCGAAAATAAATTTTTATCAAACATTTAGTGTGTTTTTTTTTTTTGGGGGGGGGGGAAGGAATATTTGTATTATCTACCTCTGTAGATAGAATCTACTAAATTCTACTGACATAAAATTGAGAAAATGCCATTCATACATGCCAAGTGCCCTGATTTTGGTTGTTTGTCCCTAGAATTGGCACCTACTGGATTATCCATATCTCCAAGTTAGAATGGCAGTGGCCCAGCTCCTTTGCCTGTTTTGCAGCAACATTTGCACCATATATTCACAAAGAGCAGAGTCAATTCTATACCTTTTGGTGCATGTCTGCATGATGATACACGGCCACTTAATGTGTCGAGTTGTGTTGTGACTACACACTGTATACTGAAGAAGGTTTTCTTACCAAGACACTCGTAGAGTTATTTTATTTTTTTTCTTCTTCTTTTGAGGTTTCAATCTTTTTGCTTTTGTGTATCATTCTTGTCTACCGTGACAATACAATTCCAGTTTTACTGATTCCGTAAACAACACAAACTACGTAAAATTGTGTCAGAATAGACAAACATACAGTCAGTGATAGAACTAAATTACGGCCTCGCTGACTGTGTATACTGTTTGCACAGTATTGAAAAAAAAAAGGGGGGGAGGGAGTTAATCAAAGTTTTGTGTTCCAAAAAAATGCTCTGAAGTACTAGATGTAGGCAATCACCATGGAAACCAGTAGACTCAGCGGGCACTATCAGTTGGTGACTCCTCACCTTTTACATTTTTTCATCAATTGTTAGAAAATAACATTTTGAGAAATCTCCCTCAAAGTGAAGTTTACAGAACCCCTTAATAAACTCGGCTCCATCCTTACACCATAAGCAAGTCTCTTGTTGGGTCTCAACCTACACTTGAGGAAGACTTTCTCTAATAATAACCGCACCAAAAAAGTTATTAAATGCAAAAATCCATACACACTATACAAACGAAGAGGGTAACTACAACATGAGATACGTGACCTGAATCTGAAAAAAGTCATAGATAGGTCGAATGGCCATCCAGCAGATGTGGCAAATACCGTGAAAGAATGACATGTTTAGCAAAGATCTATGAAGAACATAGGAAACGTGTTAAAAAGGTCTTGGAGAAGTTATAATAATTATTATATCATGGTGACTGGAGTACAGTGTTACAGTTCTCGATTTGGCTTTTTAACTAACCTTTCTCCAGCTTTGCAGAGATCTTCTAACATGAGATTCTGTGACTGTGCCTGCTTTCCTTTAAGCCGCTCAGCTAAATGTTGAAGGTGTCTGCCCTCTTCTGGTAGCAACAAGAGCAGACTGATACAAGGATGTGACAATCTGAACTTTATATCACCGAGAGTCTTCAGATTGCCGGCAATGCGTATGATCACCCAAAACACGCACCCAAGCACGGTGACTTATAACACAGATTAACCATAATGTCACCTAAGGTAGCCTCATTAACTTCCAAATTGTCATCATGCTAAGAGTAAAGAAGCCCCCAAAATGGTAACTTGTCAAAGGCCTTGTGTGATCTTTATTATTCTCTGTCTTAAATCGCAACAAAAACGTTTTCTCTTTTTTTTTTTTTTTTTATAACTCATGTTTCTCAAAAGAAAATAAATGAAACACATTTAGAATTTTTAAACAACTACCCTCTCAGTAGTGGTACTGAACCCTTCACACGTCATAGTCTGTAAAGGAGGGAAGACCATTTCATTTTGTAATAAATATAATTGGACTCAGTCACTGTCTATAGGAGTTTTTTTACTGAAGGGAGAAGCCCCACAAAGATCTGCTCTTATTTGATTGTCTCAAGGAAATCTTGTGACCATTTTCTCCCCAGATCACATGTGTACACACAGTAAAGATATGTTGAGGTCTTCATCGAACGCTTACTTTTATTAAAGGGACAATGATTTTCATTATACCCTAATTAACTTTATAGGGACACTCCCGGGTGAAATACATTTTTTTATTTTTTTTAATGCATTTTATGCATTATCATAAAATATAACGCTCGGTCCCCCTAAACCAAAGACACAGTAATTCTAGCGACAACTTAAACTTATAAAGATATCCATAAAATAAATCCCTATCTCAGTCCTACTTTTACCCAAGCAGTGTCCATTTTTGTGTGTTTTTTTTTTTTTTATTATTTTTCTTGTAGGTGGTTGTTCTCTTGTAATTCTTTCTGAGCGAAGTTATTTGGCTCAATTCAGTTAGCATTATGTTGGTCATGAATATAGTGATTGTTAGAAGAAAGTTATCAGAATTTCGTACCATGAGTTTGCTTCCATAAGCCACATTCTAAAAATGTCTTCAAATATATATACATACATATATATATATATATATATATATATATATATATATATATATATATATATATATATATATATATATATATATTAATAATATTATTAATTTTTTTTTTTTTTTTTTTTTTTTTGCTAAAACTATTTGTTTTAGAGCGACTTGTATAATGGACATTATTGCAAAACATGTCAAATGCCATAATGTTTTGTTGATGCCAAGAGTACCCCTTTTAGTCTTACAATGTCTGTTTAGATTTCAAAAACCAAATACCTTTTCCCAATTTTGCTTTTTGTGTGTGTTTGTATTTTGTGTTTTTTCTTTTTCAATTTATCTTTATTCCTATTTTTTTTTTTTTTGGAATCCAAATGTAATCGTTTAAATAGCACAATCTCTTCCTTTGTTTATGAATGACTCCACTTACCTACCAGACTTGTTGATGTCTCTTGAATAGAGAGGATATTTAAAATCTAGCACTTGTATTTTTATTTTGTTTTTTAACACATAGAAAGCTGAATAGGTTAATCTATCTACAAAAGAGATTAAAACAATAAAAAAAGGGTTTTTTTTGCTATAGCATGCATGGTGCTGTTTTGTGCACTAAATATTTTTGTTGGGGAAAAGAAAAACTAAATATTTTTTCCAAATGCTTTTACAACGTATCAGTAGTTGATGATTTGTGTGTGTGTTTATAATTTGGACCTATATATATATATTCATTTTATTTTATTTTCCAGCTGGGATTCCATTTATAATGACTGGAGAACTCTTTAAACAGTCTCATCGTCCTGCAGCTTACATTGTGGGAGGGACACTGAACTGGTTATCAAATTTTACTGTAGGATTTGTCTTTCCATTCCTTCAGGTAATGTGTGAAATCTTAAAAATGGAAATAAATCAAAGCAGAGTTTTTACATGTGTTCACTTACACAGTGCTTGTGTTTAACTCACAGTGAGCCATGCAGGAAGATTCCAGTATAACATTCTGTCAAAGTGTGCCCAGCAGCCCCATGAAATTATGCCCATGTCTATAACTAGATCTATATCTGGGTGGGGGGCGGAGGGGGCGCTATGGTTTGGTTTCCTCCCACAATAAAGGTTTAAATATGTACACAGAACAAAATTACAAATGCAGCTCTTTGGTTTTTGCCCCCATTTTTCATGAGCTGAACTCAAAGATCTAACACTTTTTCTATGTACACAAAAAGCCCATTTCTCTCAAATATTGTTCACAAATCTGTCTAAATCTGTGTTGATGAGCACAGTGTCAGTGACAGTTCTATACAATAATGGCCCTAAATACAGATAGTGTCAGTATTAACACCGACATTCCCTTGCAACCAAACCGAGTTTATTGCACTTCAGACATCCTGAAAAATATACAAATAAAATACATAATTCTCTTCCAACTTAAGCACCAGTTAACAAGATGCCACAAGAGGTTGTATACCAAAGGGAATGACAAGGAGATATAATCATAAAACCAAAAAGCCATTGACTATATATCAGATATCAAACATTACCGGGTAATGCATGGTACCTGGCACTGAGCTGCACATCTTGGCACAAACATGGCTGGCATTTACACAGGTATAGGAAAATGCATACAAAGAAACCTGGAAAGAGTGGTTCTGGTCTGTAGCGGAGAGGCAGTATGATCCACGATATCTCCGCTGGGTAACAGGAACAACAAAGGATAATCCAGGGAATCCGCATCTAATAATCCAAACAGCACTGCAGTAACCCTTCCTTCCCAAGAACTAGACGACACATAGGCTGGGAGTCAACTGAGGTTTTAATCACAGGTCACAGTATTTATGCAATTCCCCATGCAAGGGGTTTCCAAACAGACATTACAGGGGTTGTACAGGAGGGGACTACATGGGGGACTTACAGTACTACATATTTCTCCCATCAGGCACCGCTGCACGAGAGGGATCATCCTCCCAGAATGCACCGTTAAGGGGATTATCCCCTCGTGCAGCAGAACCGGCAATTCACACAAAAATCCACAGCTGGTACAATATACGGTGGATTTACACGAATGGACGTTCGGTAGATAGCTGGGGTCTGGGCGCATCATTCGTGAGATTGCCGCTCAGATCCCAGCTAAAATAACCGAACGCCGCACAGAAAACACCTTTCTTTCAAAACACATGAAAAGAACCGATTGTCTTTAGTGAACCTGGTCCTGAAACTCCCGAACGTCCTGGAGGCTTAACGGTGTTCGTGCCGTCGAATAACTGTTGGGAATGCTATGCGTTCGACGACACGGACCCGCTGACGAACCAGGGATCCAAGATGGCCGCCCGCCGCATGGTCGGTAGTCGAACGACGGCCACCCAGGAGAGCCTCTAATAACCGATTGCAACAATGTTGCAATCGGTTAACTAGCGCCACACGCCTCTAAGTGTGTGGGCTATTAGGGGGTATCGCATTCGTTTCACGAACGGCCCTCCAAAGTGCCGTTCGCGAAACGAACGGGAATCCCCATACAAACCGCCATTTGCATTCGGCGGAACAGATAGGTACAGGCAATGCAGGGAATACATGAAGTAGGCACATACAGGTACAATGCATCTCTTTCCAGACCTATAGGCAACCCTTAAAGGCATAGTGTCCAGTTATAGTCCGAGTGGCTAGGTTTGCCACATGGTCCATTGCAAGCTCCGCATGCGGGAGAATACTGCACGGAGAACAGAAGGTCTGCCTCTTCCTCACCACCAATGGTAGGCTGCAATCTATCTCAGGCAGCCTTACTAGCAACCTTGAAGCACTAAATGGTCAAATCGACCGACAACATGTTGAGAAAAAAAAAATGAAGGCAGCACAGGGCCTGCCTGGGAATCTTGGATTCCCCTTTTGACCACTTCAGCTGCTTTAGGGTGTGCCTAACAAACCCAGCACACCTAGGATTACAATACTGGCTCTCTAATTATAAAAATGGTCTATTTACCAAACATACTGCAAGTGTTAATGAACTAATTGCGTTCACCATGTAAATGGTAAACCTCTATGAGAAACGTTTGTTTCGTTTTACTTGTTGTTGAATTTTTGACGGCCACCTCCAGCCATTAAATTTCTGGGGATTACACAGTGCTTTTTTTATGGTAACTGCATGAAACCTTCTTTTTCCTTTCAGATGTCTGCAGGAGCCTTCAGCTATATGGTGTTTTGTGGGGTGTGTGTGTTCGTAGCAGCTTATGTTTATTTTATCATTCCGGAAACCAAGAATAAAACATTTATGGAAATTAGTCAAATGTTTTCCACTGCCAACACCAAATCTACACCGATAATCACAGTAGATGATGTAAAGCTAAGAAAGATGAACGGATATGGGGCATTGGACAGCAGTTCTATTGAAGTTTCTTTGCCAGAGAATTTGAAAGGACCAATGGACTCTATCTCTTAAGAAGAGGACCATGAAGGCTCCATCATTATTAAGCCCATTGGGTCAATGTGAATGGGTCACTGCAAGTTTGAAGGATTTTTTAGTCCAATATGAGACCCACTAGGTAAAAGAAGCACCGTGGTCGACCTACTTTACAACTTATCGTGAGAAGAACTTAAAGGAATACGGTTAAAGTTGACAAATGGCCAAAAATAACAGACAAAACCTTATTTGTGTTATCAATGATCTAAAAAAATGTGTGTGTGTGTGTGTATGTGTATATGTATATGTGTGTATATATATATATATACTTTAATTATTGGAATATCTTCCTTTACAATAAACAACAACTTGTCCACAGATTGACAAAACTTCTTGTTTTGTATTTCATGGTATAACTCTATATTTATATATTTTAGTTCTTATGGTAGCCTTTTCTGAAAAAAGATTTTTCCACATGTCTTCTGTTCAAATATTCTAACCTATTCTTTGCCATAGTTTTGTTTTATTTATTTATTTATTTTTATTTCTAATTCCTAATTATTCTTTTAGGTTCCCAGGTTTCCCTCGCTCCTATAAACTCTAAAATAATGAATAAAATAATAACCTAAAATCCAGCATGGGAGAAGCTCTCAGTACTGCTCTGCTCTCCATTTGACATCATCGGAACCCCCACACAGTCCAATCAAATGCTTCTTGCAGAAAAGCATTTGATTGGACCGTTCCACCAGTTCAGCGCACGTGCACACACTCTGATCCGGAAAGGAGATGGAATGGAGAGAGAGGAAGGGAGTGACTATATTAAAAAAACCTAATGGAGGGTATAGGGAGGAAAGGAGGGATTAAATGAAGGAGGGAGACCGGTGCTGTATGCAAGGTAGAAGCTCATAACATCTCTCGACATATGTGTGATTAGGGGAAAAAACAAGCAGATATTCAACCCCCCTTCAAAAAAAGATATATGGAGGGTTTCTGACCCAGCACCTCCAGAAGAAAGAGGTTAGTTTTACACCTCAAGAACAAATAGTAAGTTTGCTGCAAAAATATAAACCATTATTCAAACATAAATAAAATGGAACTCACCCGGATCAATATCAGGCTACTAAAAGTGTAGGTGCTTATAACAGTCAGTTAGTAAGAAGCTTGATTACGATACCTTCATTAAGACTTCCTTCATATGGCAGTGTAGCCCAAAATGGCAGGGGCTGCTAATTACAATGGTTTGCAGTGATGATAGACTTGGACAATTAATACATCTTAAAGAGTTACATCAGTTTAATAAGATTTCAGCCAGGTCCTGCGTATATGTGAACACCGGGCCCTGGGATTATTGCTTTGGAAATTCTCTAACGTAGAACCTAGTTTGTCCTGATAAATGCCGGACATCTTGCCAGAAGTTGATTCTCACTTGCAACTCCATGAGAGAGACTGTCATCCAAGTTATTGTGGGCCCCTAACATGTTCAGTCACAGTTAGCACAAGCTGTATTGTTCTATTACCAGTAGCTAAAGTATGTCTAACAATACTGAAAATATCCTAACATCTGCTCAATAGTATACTGTTCATTTTTCTATTTATTTTATAATTTTAAGATGCTTTTACTTTGAGTTATTTTGATGCTCGATCTATATTTTTATATATAATTTATTTTAATTAAACCCACTGACTGTTTAGGTTGCTAAGCAAACATTGTGCTGAACATCGCTAATTATTAGAACAAACTGTGACAGTTCTGCCTCCGAAAACGCTGCTTTTTACATAACCGTATAACTCTCAAGTGAACAAAAACAAAGTCATCAAGGTGAGATGAATTAGGTGGCACTTGTGATGCTGTAAGGATAGGTGATTAATGGGACAACATTGGTTTCATTGAGTGGACTGCCATCCGTGAATTGATTAAATGCAGCGTGTTATGCAGTTTGGATAATGATGAATGAGAATTGCTACTTTTTAGCAGCCTCTGGGCTGAACTTTAGAACAGTTTACCATGGGTAACTGGAGTCATGTGTAGAATTCTTGCTCCTAAGCATTTCCCGGGGAGAAAAATTGGAGAGGAAAGATATCCCTAGTGAAATCAAGGATAATTAACGGTCTCAGTTCTGCATTGCAGTAATTATCATCCTCCTCGTCCCAATGGTAGAGATTCACTAAGGGGAGGCGCTGGTAATAGGAAACTGTAATTTATGTAGAATTTAATTGTACATATGTATATGCTTGGCTAAGCATCGCAGGGATACACTCTTATAATCCGCTGGTGTTGAACGCCAGTCCTTTAGGGGCCATTCTCACACTGGAATATTAGAATAATACTTGCCACATTTCTTTCTGATACTCTGTTAATTGTATGATTACACATTAATTGGAGAAGGCTTAAAATTCTGCTGAAATTAGGGGAATAAGTCAGATCTGGTCTAAAAGAACACGGACATCAGACAATAATCGAAATGGCTTGACCTTTGCTTAGCTTCCACTAAACCTTAAAGTTTAAAACTAGTCATCGCTTTACTGGTGCCCTTACAGAGAGAATCTATGCCTTTAATGTTGGACTGTTACCCCCGACAAGGACAGTACAAAACCAAAAGACAAAGCGACCCAGTCTGCATGAGAAGTACAGCTACCCAGGTGACTGTTCCACACCTCCATATTAGTACAGATTTGACACCTGTGCTATAATCAGAATAACATTTTTATAGTTAGTCTGTTTTTATTATTTACTGTTCTACACATTTGGGACTCTTTCATTTCTGTACTTGTATCCACCTCTCTCACCCAGGGACTGAGGGATTCCCCTAATATGACAATATCGCCAGTTTTTTATCTTGTCTTCCATGGCCTGATTCCCTGGATGACTCTGTGATACATTCTTAACTCCTTAAGGACCACGGACATACCTAGTAGCAAATATATTACTTACCCCATCGCCGCCGTTCCCCCACCGGCGATCAGTGTTGCTCCCGGTCTGGGGGGACTACCTGACATCCATCCTCTGCAAATTAGGCCTCTGCCAGCCATTTAATCGATCTGAAAGAGTGGTCGCAATAGGCGTCCATAGTGCTGCCTGCAGGGGGGACTGCCTAAACTGACAGGCAGTCTCCTTGCATCTGTTAAAATAAAAAAGAAAATGTTAATAAATTAAAGTAAAATAAAATAAACAATTTTTATATATATATATATATATATATATATATATATATATATATCATACTAAGTGTATTTTTATATTAATATAATATATAGTAAATAAAGTGGGCAAAAAGGAATACATATCATGCTCAAAATAAATGTATTGAGTAAAGAACATAATACAACGTAAGTACATTAAGATGACATTTTAACGAATGCCCTTCGTATTTCCTGTACCAGTTGGGATATGTATATTGTATATGCTGATGACTTCCAGCGACCTAGAGTTTTAATGACATGGACTGGAAAGTTCTGGCTTAATGTCGTAGGTGTGGCCCCTATCCCAAACAAGTGTCCTGAATAAAGGCTAGGGTTCATACCGAGCCTTGTTAACAATAACCGTAGGTATAACATGAACTTAGAGGTAGTGAGGATAGCCCCGTGAAGTGACAGTAGCGGAAGAGATGCGATATTCGGTACGGTGAGGAGGTAGGAATCGAAAACCTTCATCGGTACCATATATTATTCATGGGATAGTATGGAATGTGGATGAGTTGACTCATTTAGGTCAAGGTTAGAGTCAGTATGTAATGATCTTGATGTTTAATTAGGTAGGAGTTTCAAAGACAACCTTGTGCATTGTGTCGGTCACTGAGGGTGATTTCTAGTGGCCTCAGGAAGCCATAAAAGGCCAGGTACATAGTGGTTTTAATGACCGAGTTAGTGAGGGGTTAGAAAGGGGCTGAATCTAGCAAATCAGACATATTTTGGGTACCCTTAAGTATAGTCTGATTGGATAGGATGAAAGGAAACTGGCGTTGTTGGAAAGTAGAGGAACATGTGACGTTGGATGCCAGTCAGACGTACCTTGATGGTTTAGTGAGAGAGCCTAAATTGAAGGTTACAAAAAAGTAGCGAACACAACCAGACACATAATAACTAGGGATCGACCGATATTGATTTTTTAGAGCCGATACCGATAATCTGCAAACTTTCAGGCCGATAGCCGATATCTTGCCGATATTCTGTACATTTACTATTTTGAATAAATAAACTAATTCGAAAGGTAAATGGACAAAATATACATGCCACATGTAGTGGATGAAGTGTGTTTAGACAGGGGAACTGTGTGTGTTTGTGTAGTGTGTGTGTGTGTAGTGGATGCAGAGTGTGTGTTTGTGTAGTGTGTGTATAATGAATGTAGTGTGTGTATAATGCAGTGTTTTTGTGTGTGTTTGTGTAGTGTGTATGTATGTAATGTATGTATGTAATGAGTGTATGTAATGCAGTGTGTGTGTGTAGTGTGTATGTAATGTAGTGTGTATGTAATGCAGTGTGTGTGTATGTAATGCAGTATGTGTGCAGTGTGTTTGTGTAGTGTGTGTGTATGTAATGCAGTGTAGTGTGTGCAGTGTGTGTGTCTGTAATGCAGTATGTGTGCAGTGTGTGGTGTGTGTGTTTGTGTGGTGTGTGTGTTTGTGGTGTGTGTAGTGTGTGTGTCTGTGTAGTGTGTGTATGTAATGCAGTGTGTGTGTGTCTGTGTAGTGTGTATGTAATGCAGTATGTGTGCAGTGTGTGTTTGTGTAGTGATGTAATTTGTGTAATTTCTTATTTTAATATTTTTTTTTATATTTAAATGTTGTTGTTTTTTGTTTAGTCCCCCCCCAGTGTGTGTTTGTGTAGTGTGTGTGTGTGTGTAATGCAGTGTGTGTGTCTGAGTAGCAGTATGTGTGCAGTGTGTGTTTGTGTGTGTGTGTGTTTGTGTAGTGATGTAATTTGTGTAATTTTTTATTTTAATATTTTTTTAAATATTTAAATGTTTGGTTTTTTTTGTTTAGCCCCCCCTCCCTGCTTTTTACCAGGGAGGGGGGATATAGTATTCCCTGGTGGTCCAGTGGCTTGTTAAGTACAGTGGTGGCTCAGCAGCAGCAAGCGCTGACTTACCTTGCAAGCAGCTCCAGCAGCTCCCTGTGTAAATCTCGCGGCTCTTAGTGCTGCGCGGAGCGTTGCCATGGTACCCCGTGGCAACGCTCTGCGACCGCGGGTCTCGCGAGATTTACACAGGGAGCTGCTGGAGCTGCTTGCAAGGTAAGTCAGCGCTTGCTGCTGGCCCCCACAGGACCGCCGGGCTTGTAATGGGCACGGCGGTCCTGTTATATATAATCGGCAATATCGGTATCTGAATTGGCCGATACCGATATTGCCGAAAATACCAAATATCGGCCGATAATATCGGCCAGACCGATAATCGGTCGATCCCTAATAATAACCAACATTATGTAATGAAGGACCACTTACATGTGACGTGAATAGTAATGGAAAGACTTGGGGACAGCAATTGCTGGGAGACCACTAAGGGCACAACTTGAAATACCTTAGAACCTGGAGGAGTAATACAGTGTACATTGAAATAGCGGAATATGCCAGACACGTGAGCCCTACAAGGGCTAATGTAATTGTTGTAAACATGTAAGTGACATCCAATTTATACCTTGCAAACAAGTGAGGGGTAACACAACCAACGTAGACTAAACCAGGTGGCATGAATATGAAAATACCAGCATATGACGTCAACCATAAATTAATAGCATTAAGGCATATAGCAAAACTCTAATAATGCAGAAACTCTGGAAAGTAAGTGAATCGTGAACCTGTCACATGTATAAGCCCCTGTTGCCTGAAAATAATGGGATAGCCCGGAGAAAGATGAACGTAACTAAGTGATTAATGTAGCAAGGGCCAGGTTGACAAACCAACTTATATAGGGGAAATAGAGTAGAAAGGGTTGAGAACCGGAAAAGTATCAATACTGAAGAAAACCAAACAATTAGCATAGGTAACTAGTATCAATATCAACAAGAATATGCGACAACAACCCGTAATTAGTATAACTAAACCAAAGTAAACCTTTGTTAGCTGATGAGTCCCATGAGGGTTGTAGTTAATGTACAGTGAATGTATATACAAGTTAGTTTATATTTGTGAACCATATGTGTAGGCCCAAGTATGGCTTAACTGAAAAAGGTGAAGGGGGAGGCGGCGCCACAGGTGAAATAAAATATAAATAAATAAACCTGATTTATAAACTATACAAGCACATATACAAGACACTATATAAGAGAAAATACATACAAGATAAAAAAACAAAAAGAGCTTGAAATATGGATAATGAATAATAATCAAGAGTCCAAAGATTAAGTCCAAAAGAGTCTATGCCTGATAAATGCAGCAAAAAAAGTCCAAATAAAACCTGGTATAAGAAGTCAATCACAATCTTGTCAGGGGAAGTATTCCTCAGTAACGTATGGACATGGGATATTCGTGAAATCCATATGAAAAAAATGAAAAGACAGCAAATAATGGTGCAGTATATCCCAACAGGCACTGAGTACTGTTTTTAGAGGTCTATATGGTCCTACTCACGTTTTCCAGAGCTATAAGACTAGCTCTAGTGTGGATGGCATACAGTGGTACAATCCCGACTTATGGGATACGTGAAGTTTTGTAGTAGAATGATATCTTGTTGGTATAAGGACCATAAGGAATGTAAAAGAAACAATAATAGTGCTTATTGTATAAAAGCCAGAGGTGAAGTAATAAAATACCAAGTGGTTACTCACATTTTATTGAGCAGGCAGACTGCTCAATGGATAAAGCTTGAGTGGTATAATCCCCACCAAGGATTCTTTGGAGTAAAATTCTCACTGGAACAATAAAAACTCTGGTGCCAGGTAAAAATAAATAAAAGAGTAAAATGGCTGACTCACAAGTTGAAAGTGGCCAAAATACCTTTACTAAAATATAGCAATTAAAATACCACAACGCGTTTCTCCCCTTAGGGCTTTCTCAAGTGGATAAAAACATGTACCTGACAACACTGGCTTTATATAGGCCTCAGATTACTTGATTTTGGTGCCAAAAATTTGGTCATGTGACTTTTTTTTGTGTGTAACTTTATTGTAGAACATGTTTCAGCCATATTAGGGAGGGCAATGAAACATGTGTCAGCCATATTAGGGAGGGCAATGAAAAAAAGTGGAAGAAGGGAATGAATGAATAAAACAAATGTGACAAGTAGCAAGTGCAAATATGGTTAATCAGACCAGGAGTTTTTTAGCATACATTTTAAAATATGATAATAGAAAATGATAATAAATATAGATATAAAAAGGTCACAGTAAATTGCAAATGTCATAGAAAAATATAAATGAAGATTTAAAAGAACATATGTAAATATAGGGTAAAAATAAAGTAAAATAACTAACATACTTGTATCATATTATAAACAAAAACAGAATATGCAAATTTATAAAAAGTTAAAAAGATCAAAATCAACGTTTAAAACTTCAGGGGCAAGCGTTTTTAACTGGAACACCCAATACATTTCTTTCTGACCCAAACGTTTTTTTAAATCACCTCACCTCCACGGTATTTTACATTTTTGAATTCCAATACATTTTAGATGTTTGGGGTTTTTATCATGTTTAATAAAGTGCTTTGAAACCGAGTGGTTAGGGTAACCTTTGATGATGTTCCGACAGTGCTCTGCCAGTCTAATTTTTAGGCATCTAGTGGTCATTCCTACATACTGGAGTTCACAAGGGCACTCCAGTAAGTATATGACATTTTTTGTGTTGCAACATATTAGGTCTTTTATGGGATATGATGAGTTGGTATTATTAGAAGTAAAGTGCGTGGTTTTCGACTTGATTTGTGGGTCCGTGGTTCTGCAAACTATGCATCTATTGCATTTAAAAAAACCTTTAGATTTAGTTAAAAACGATGAATTAGTGGTAGTGGGATCTTTTTTATAGTTTTTAGTAAGAAAAGTTCTAAAATTAGGGGCCCCTCTAAAAATCACACTGGGTTTGTCTGGGATGAGCGTTTTAAGTATTTCATCCTGTTTTAAGATGTGCCAGTGTTTCTTGATGATTTTTTTCACAATCTGGCTTTTGTTGTTAAAGTTAAAAATGACTGGCAAAGAGGGTGGAACTTTTTTATTATTTGTTTTATATTCTAAAAGATTCTTCCTATCTTTTTGTTTTACAGTATTTAGTATTTTATTGAGGTTTTCTGGTGAATAATTTTTACTGGTGAATTGTTCTTTGCGGGTTTTAGACTGTTCTTCAAAATCTTTATTGCGGGAGCAGTTCCTGCAAAGGCGCAGGAACTGACTCTTGGGGACCCCATCTAGCCATGGCTGGTAATGGCAACTAGATTTTTCAATAACTGTGTTGGTACATACTTTTTTAAAATAAGTTTTAGTGTTAATAGTACCTTCATGGATAAAAATCTGAATATCTAAAAAGTTAATCGGTTCTTTGCTGTATTCTGAAGATAAAATGATGCCGCTATTATTGATGATTAAATAATTAAAGGACCACTATAGTGCCAGGAAAACATACTCGTTTTCCTGGCACTATAGTGCCCTGAGGGTGCCCCCACCCTCAGGGACCCCCTCCCGCCCGGCTCTGGAAGGGGAAAGGGGTAAAAACTTACCTTTTTCCAGCGCTGGGCGGAGAGCTCTCCTCCTCCTCTCCGCCTCCGTTACGCCCCGCCGGCTGAATGCGCACGCGCGGCAAGAGCTGCGCGCGCATTCAGCCGGTCTCATAGGAAAGCATTTACAATGCTTTCCTATGGACGCTGGCGTGCTCTCACTGTGAAAATCACAGTAAGAAGCACGCAAGCGCCTCTAGTGGCTGTCAGTGAGACAGCCACTAGAGGCTTTGGGGGAAGGCTTAACCCATTCATAATTATAGCAGTTTCTCTGAAACTGCTATAATTATGAAAAAATGGGTTAAGCCTAGAAGGACCTGGCACCCAGACCACTTCATTAAGCTGAAGTGGTCTGGGTGCCTAGAGTGGTCCTTTAAGAAATAGTTTAAGAGAATCTTCAGGCCCCTTCCAAATAAAAAACAGATCATCTATGTGTCACGAACGCACCCTACTCCAAGAGTGTGCATGACGTAGTTGTGGTGGTGAAATAGTTAAAGTTCACTGTTTTAATGCTGCCACCACCAAGACAATTTATAAATGGGGTGTCTTGGTCCCCCAGGTAAATCCATAATAAAACCCACCAGATATTACTTAATCCAATATTTAAGGAATTACAGGAATACTAACTAGTCTCTTCAGGTAATGTGATTCTTAACCAGACAAAGGCAGAACTTAATAAATGAATGTTTATTATGAGCAAAAAATAGTCACAGTGCATATAACAATATATGATAAACAAATTATTTACACCAACAACAGATAAAAACAAGAAGGATAAAATACAGAAGTCCTAATTACTCACTTAGGTTTTCAAAGTACAACTTCTGTCCAGGGGGTCTCTGGCAAGGAAAGATAGTGACTCACTCAAAATTAGATCTTGGCCCCAAGCAAGTACACCAGCACCCTTCAGGATCACAGGAGATATATCCTGTAAATTACCACGCCTCACCTTGTGGCCTCCAGTATGAAGGAATGACTACTAGATGCCTAAAAATTAGACTGGCAGAGCACTGTCGGAACATCATCAAAGGTTACCCTAACCACTCGGTTTCAAAGCACTTTATTAAACATGATAAAAACCCCAAACATTTAAAATGTATTGGAATTCAAAGATGTAAAATACCGTGGAGGTGAGGTGATTTAAAAAAACTTTTGGGTCAGAAAGAAATGTATTGGGTGTTCCAGTTAAAAACGCTTGCCCCTGAAGTTTTAAACGTTGATTTTGATCTTTTTAACTTTTTATAAATTTGCATATTCTGTTTTTGTTTATAATATGATATAAGTATATTAGTTATTTTACTTTATTTTTACCCTATATTTACATATGCTCTTTTAAATCTTCATTTATATTTTTCTATGACATTTGCAATTTACTGTGACCTTTTTATATCTATATTTATTATAATTTTCTATTATCATATTTTAAAATGTATGCTAAAAAACTCCTGTCTGATTAACCATATTTGAACTTGCTACTTGTCACATATATGTTTTATTCATTCATTCCCTTCTTCCACTTTTTTTCATTGCCCTCCCTAATATGGCTGACTGTAATGATATTGATGTTACAAAGTTTTGGAGTCCAGTAGCCAGATCAGCAATGTTTTCTGCCAGAGGTAGCCACTCGTTACCCAGGTGGTTGAGCCCCTGAGCCTTGAGTGGCCTTCTGGTCTTAAGCAGAGATGGGAGACTGGAACAGAAAGATGATAATCGTAGTGAGGCAAGCCGAGGTCAGTGGGAAGGAGAAGCAGCAAAGTCAAAACAGTCC